ACATAATAATATTAATACTACAGTATCTAATAAGCTAGCTTCATCTCTACTTCTCTGTAATTTGAATCTTGCCGATTCATTACTGTTATATTTGCTACTTCTTATCATCCATATATAATTAGAGAAACCAAATGGGCAGCTGACTTAGCAAAATCATAGACTGAATGTCAGTTCATGTTTACCTCACTCTGATGGGTCAGTTCTTGTAAATATTGTTAAGCAGTTAGAAGGGAAAATTTCATCATGTCTTCCAGAGATAGTTATTAAGGATATATCTTTGTTAGTAAGAAAAAAAAACAATTACTTTTGATGACTAAACCATTTTAAAATTTTGGAACTCATTTTCTGAACGCATTTAGGAAGGAGAACATTACATGAATAATTTTTTTAGTTTTCAGAACCTGATGCTAAAAAGCTAGAAGGGAAGACACATAAGAAAATATGATATACTTTTTAATTATGATTAAATGCAAAGAAAATAATGCCAATGTGAGGAGAAGACTTACTGGAGATGAAAAATGAATGAGAGCAATATGTTTTTTGAAAGTAAATAACTTTTTTAGGAAAATAAGTTAAAATGTTGTAAAAAGAATGGTGTATCAGTGAGTGAAATTACATTCAAAGCACTTTTTCTTCTGCTGAATGTAAAAAGAAAATGCCCTTTTTAGAGAACTGCAATGAAGTTTTCTCTAAATTTTTTCCCTTGCACTTATTCTGCCATTATATTTTGTTCGTTTGTAGTCTTATTCGTTTGTAGATTGTAGTCCTATTGTAGCAATTATCTGAAAGTGCTGCAAATACTTTTCATTTTTTATGCTAGAAAATTCTGTGAAAAGTTTTTAATAATCTACCCATATTTACTGCCTTTATTAACAAGCTTGCATATTTCGTGGAAAGTAAACAAACATGACATTAAAGTGCATTTACGTTAAAATTCATTGCCTGAAACATTACAGAAAAATAAATTCTTCTTTCATGTGAACCTCATAAACCCAGTTATTTGGACCCAGTTACTTTTAAAGTTAATTTTAAAAGATTTTAAAGGTTTATACAAAAAAGGAGGGATTGATATGAAACAAAAAATTCTCAGAAATTCATAATTCATGTTTACTTTAAAATAGGAGCACCCACATATGCAGAAAATGTTAAATAACTTAGAGAAAAAATTAATTTATTTCTTTTAGAAAATATTATAATTGGCTTAAAAATTCCTTTCTATATACATTTAAGAAACAAAAAAATTGCATTAAGTTTACCATGCTGAATTTTCCGAAAATCAGAATTTTATTTATTTGCATCCAAACATAAAGGAAGATTATGAGCATTTGCAGATTAAGTGATCATGGACTATAAGAATTCTGTTGAATAAATAATTGATTAAAGTAGTAATATTTTTGTAATTTGAATGGAATTAGAAGTTTTTGTTTTATTTATGTTCATTTGCAATATGCATCGAAGAAATTCAATTTTCATATGCATTCTTTTTGTTTTTTTTCCAAAGTTTAAAGTTTTTATAAACAGGTTTAAACAATTAAGACACAATAACACACCAAATACCAATTCAGAAGTCAAACAACAAAAAGCAGCATTATATTTTCAAATGTTTGACTCTGAATTAGGTTTAAACAGTTTTTGTAAACAATTTGTGATATTTTTTGTCTTAAGCTTAATTTTAAAAAATGCGCTTGTGGAATTTACCAGCATTGAAAGAAACTGTGATAAACTTTCTGCAGGAATATAGAATTTTGCTTCAAATCTCTAAAGGTGACAATGTAGAAATGTGTTTGGTAGATAGCCGGTGTTGCTAAGGCTAATGCTAAATCTCTGAAATTCTCTGATCCCCTCCCCAAAAAAGCAGAAACAGATCATATGTATTTGAGAAGAATAGCATAAAACAATGCAAAAAGATTTAGAAATGAATGCAAGTGTTTAATTTTTTTTAACATACTTTGTAATTTTTATCTAATAATTAAACTTGTATTCTAAATTGTTGAATTATCTTTCCTTTTCGTATGTTGATAAAGTTTACAGACTTACAATAAATATTTATATTTTGGGAATCTTTTTTAAAATAAAGTTGTGAAAAACACTAATTTGGTCTTGATGAGGAACTTTTATCTTTTCATCTGTAAAACACTAACATAATGTTCAAAGGAGATTGCGTTAATGTGTAAATACTAGTTAGTTTAATGAATAATCTGTAGTTAAATAGTTTACTGCATAATGAACCAAGGCAGACCGAACCTGACTGAACCCAACCGAAGATAAGAAAAACTTTGCTGTTATCATCAATATAGCAGTGTGTAATAATATATTGTATTCCATGTAACAAACTGTGCTGACTTTAAATGGAAAGAGTAGAAAGGCATGGATGGGAAAAATGAAACACAATTTTTAGCTGTGAAAAAATAATCGAGTTACAGCCAATCTGCAGTAGAGATGCTGGTGAAAATGTGCGGATGAAGAATGCCAGGATATTCATTGTAGAAAGATATTAATTACAAAGCAGATTACTAAAAAAAGTACAAGAAAAATTTTGTGTCAAGTTCAATAGTCAAATCATCCATATATAAACTCATAAACTGCAGAAGTAAAATATTTACCAGCGAATGTTTCAGATCCCCATAAAGAACTATGAAAATCTGTCACAAAAGTGAGCCCACCAGCGGCCGAGCGGTAAAATCGCTGAACACTGGTAGTTCGGTCCGAGGTTCGAATCCCGCGAACGGGCTGGCTGCATGGGTGTTTTCGTGGTGTAATGTGTATACGAGCCAGTTTCCCTTAGGAAGTCCTCCACGAAGGCATCCCTCCCCTTAGGCAGATAGTGCCGTAGTGTGCTTTGCCATAATTAAATACACCACCTGTCACAAAAGCCTGGAATGCCAGCATATCATGAAGAACTTTAACCTACAGCCGTATAAGATCATGACATTACCAGAGTTAAATCCTGCACAGTGTGTTGAATGTGTACAGTGCTGAACATGGTTACTTGCAGAAAAATAAGATGTGGTTTTCATGATCCATACTTATATTTCATGATGGACAAGGCATGATTCCAGCTCGGTGGCTATGCTAATTCAAAAATTCATGGTATTGATCAGTTAAAATCTCACAACCAATATCTGAGCTACTGCAAAGACTGGAGTGTGGTGTGTTGTTCTGAGTGGGAATGAGAATTCTTAGGCCCATTTTTCTTTTGAGACACAGTGAAATCAGCACATTACATTTCCAGCATCTTTGAGCCCTTTATAGAGGAACTGACACCAGGTAAATGACGTTTTACTAATTTCTTGCAGGATAATGCAATAGCACAGACTGGACATGCCTCCTTGGAAGCAATGTATTTGTGCTTTCACAATTGACAGATCTATCTCGAAAAATCTCTGGCCTGCATGGCCTTCTGATCTGTGCAACTGCAGTTTTTATTTGTGGGCAACCTGAATATCAATCACATAATCCTCAAAATATTGACCACAGCAGTCCTCAAACTCATTAACCTCATCCTATTGACACACTGCAACAGAACATATGCAGTCACTAATTTCCAATGGGTGAGTTACAGCTATTTGTACCTAGCATGATCTATGAGACCAATCTGCGACCTGAACAACGTAATTAACATTTTCAGCAGTACCTGTAGAGATGGAGAAATGCATGTAAATAAGCTTTTTGATTTAGTTTATAACATTACCTTGCAATTCATATGTTCATTACTTGGTTTGGGCTCAGATTATCTTGGCTCATCCTGTATTAGAAATGTAACTCGTAAGATCTTTTACTAACTTGTAACTAGGAAAAAAAAAAAAAAAAAAAAGAGAGAGATAAGAAAGTTTTTATTATAAGTAGCTATCAGGGCAGATTTATGAAATGGAGCACACCTTATCTAAACATTTGGAGGTTCCTCTTAAGATTCAGTGTGTGTTTATATTATTTTTTATTTTATTTTATTTTATTTTATTTTATTTTATTTTAGTTCCTGGAGGCCCTTCACAGTTGTGACTAGTGCAAATTTATAAATACATCTCTGATGTTCATGTTATAGCTTTTTCTTAATTAGATGCATTTCTAAAAACATATACTATAATTTTAAAATTATTTTAAAGATAAAAGGATTTTCTTTTAGAACTTGCCAATAATGTTCTTCTTTTTACTTCCTTGTATAAAGTAAATGAAGTATTGTAATGGCGAAAAATTTTGGTTGTCATATTTCAATGAAAATATACATTCGACCACTTTCAAAACCATTTGAATGCTGTTTTTGTAGGGTCCATACATATGGACAGAATAAAGGACTGTGTTTGTCAAGATAGATTATGAAATGGATTTAAAGTTGATTCAGAAAAGATTTTGTCTTGATCTCTGTATGTACGTATGTATGTATCTCATAGTATAACTCAAGAACGAGTAGACGTGGAATGTTGAAATTTTGTGTATGGGACTTCTATAACATGTAGTTATGCACCTTCCTTTTTTGTTGCAATCGGCTGTGCCAGTCATATATTTTTAAAGTTAAAATTGTAACAGCAGTGATATAAAACAGGTTACTAGAGGTTGTATAATAGAGCACCTTAACATTTTAATCCTGTGATATGTTATGCTATTGTTAATGATGTCAAATTTGAAAAGATTCCATATAGATTTTGTGATGTTATTCCTTTCTTATTACACACCACTTAATATAGAGAATATTAGCAGGTTTTTCTGTGTAGATCAATAGTTTCATCATTAAATGAAATGGAATTAGTTTTGCATTTCTTAACATGAATTTGCTGTTTTTTTATGACATTTTGGTGGTTGTAGCTAAAGAAAGCAGTAGGAAAACAGTATCTGTCTTTTTTTGTATACCAATTTTATAGGAAGGAAATTAGGAACTTACTTTTGTACAGAATATTAATTAATAACAGCTAAATAGTGCATTTATTATTATTATTGTTATTTTATTACTGTGTCTCTAATGCAAAGAAATTTACTAAATTATTATTGCAATTTTTTTTAAACAGATTTTTTGCCAGAATATGCCTTTCACTTAACATCATCATTAACGGGTCTTTACTGCTTGTACCATTTCTTTGAAAATGAGATTCTCTACATTATTCTTTTTGCTGTGGTTGGTTATGGCATTTTACTGTTAACAAATATTATTTTGAAGCAGTATCAAGGAATTGTGTGTGTTTTTGCAAATTATGCATTTTTAATTATATGGTAAGTTTTCATTTATTTAAGTTATTTAATTAAGATATTTTTACTTGTTATCTACTTCATTTACTATTGTTTATGTTTTTTATAGTGAACTGTTTTTTGCCGAGAAAACTCTATGGCATCGTATACGAGGTAATCAGTGTCTTAGTAATATGTACCTGTATTGTATTTTTATGCAAATCTGTTGATAAAGTTCTTGTTCTTAATTCTTGTGTATTTTACTTATTTTCAAGTAGTTGTGCTAATGCATTTCAGTTCACAGGTTCTCAAATGCTGCTGTCTATGAAATTAATATCTTTAGCTTTTGATACTGGAAGTATTGCTAAAACTATGCCTGAAACTTTTGCTTGCTTTGGTTATTTATTCCATCCTGGAACTGTGATATTTGGTCCTTGGATCAGTTATACTACATACATGAATAGCAAACAGAACACAAAAATTGTAAGTAAAAATATTCAGAGCTTTTTTTTTTAACATTCTATATTTATATTAAATTTGTTTCCATAAAAATTTGAATTCAGCTTTTTATCAGAAGCGTAAATTTTACCTGTTTGGGATTGGTTCATGATCGCATTATGTGCAATTGTACCTCAGTATACATCAGTTTTAAAGTAAGTCCAACAAAAAGTTTTGTTTGGTGTACAATATTTCTTTTGTATATGACTTGAGTTTGATGAGTGATCACTGCATGCATTACCTTGTAGTATTACTTTTTTTGAGGTAAGGCTATGACTGCCCATGACTTTCAGTATGCCAGTTCTATTCAGTAAAAAATTCATGAACAATAAGTTAAGAGAAAATTAACTAGAGATATTAAGCAATGAAGTAAAAGGTTAGAGTCACCGTGGAGATTAAAAAAAAAAAAAAAAAAAAAAAAAAAAAAAAAAAAAAAAAAAAAAAAAACTGTTGAAAAGTATGAAGGTGACATCTATACTCAGGACTTGGCTATTGCATACCGTATGGTGAGAATGGTAGTATCTATGATTGTGAAAAGCAAAGATGCTATTAGATCATCTAATGTAAGATCTGGCAGTTCTTAATTAGGTCCGAGTAAGCACTTGACAAAAACTTGAGAACTCATTGAAACTTAAGTAGGATGACATTAATAAAAGAAAGAGATTAATAAATTTTTTAAAGTTTTCATTGTGTACAGCCTATATTTCACGTACTGCATTTTTATTTTAGTATTAAACAGTGTTATAATAATAACAGTTGGAATATTTTAATAGAAAGGATTAATTAGTTTTCTTTTATTGGAAAAGATCTGGAAGGAATTTATGATTATACTGAGATACCACTGTATATGGAAATCTATGAAATTTTTTGTAGCCAACCTGATCAGCTGCCAAAAAACAAACATAGTCAGATTACCAGTTATATGGTTTTAGGCTCTCAAGTATTAATAAATATGCATCAAGAAATATATAAATTTATCTATTTTTATTTTTCTAAATTTTGTCCTTTATCACATATATTATTCATATATTTGGTTTGTTTTAATACTGATATTCCAAAGAATAGAATTTTTATAGGTACTTGCATTATTAGGGTAATACGGCCTGGTATACATGTGGTCACCATATGTGGCGATATTTTGTGTTGGATGGTTTAGTTGAGATTTTATTTGTATGGCAAATCTTTTTACATGGAAAGTGTTGGGAGGAATGTGGTTGCACTTCGTCATGATGGTTTTTTGCTTACATGTTGAAAAAAGGTGTATAGTTGCACGAAGTCATGGAGATATATCGGCCACATGTTTCAGAGTGTATTCAAAGCTAGATTTAGTTCAAGAAGATATGTTGTTGAAGTTATTAATGAAGCATTTGTTCTTGGTTGTCTTCATTCTGACAGAAATCTATTTTTGCAGTTTTTATGGGATACAGGATTTTTGAAGCCAATCTTGACATGTGAGAAGTGCGGTTCTGATATGAAGATTCGGAAGAAAAATTGTGTTTGTGATGGATTTGCAAAAAAATTGTTCAGGGTAAATGTGGTTCTCAACAAAGCTGTAATGGTCTGTTGTGATGATTTGGGCAGGTTCAACATCTCTGCTTCGGATCAACTGTAATTTGAACGCAGATCAATACATTTTTGACGTCTTATGTCCAGTGGTTGTGCCCTATCTTTGAGGCCTGCCAAACACCATCTTCAAACTAGATAATGCAAGACCACATTTTGCATGTTGTGTTCTGACCTTCCTCGTATATAGGTCATCATCCTATAGAGTATTCGATTGCTGCCATGGCCTGCTTGGTCTCCAGATCTGTCACCAATTGAAAAGATATGGTCATGGGTTGCTGAGAGATTGACCTGCCACCCATCTCCTGCTAATACGATTAATGAAGTATGACATAGGAAGCAGCATGGAATGAGTTTTCTGTTTCTGTCATCCAAGCCCAGTTAACTCCATGCCTAAACACATAAAGGCCGTTTCTTCTAATTTCGCTCCCCTGTAGCGCTCCAAACTGCTTACAAATTTAATCATTTTGTCTTCATGCCATACTGTTTATGTACAATGAATATTTACACCTTTTTGGTGAGAAAATTCACGCTTTTACTTATCTAAATTTTTTGTTTTTATTTCAGACTTTTACTGTAAATCGTGTGCAAAAATGTGGTTTTTGCAGACATTTTAGGCTTTAAGTTTGAAATGTAAACAAAACATTTAGGTAAGTAAAATCATAGAATTTCTTGCTAAACATTTTTGGCGAGAAATGTTTCGCCAAATATATGACAGCAGTTCCACATATTATCACAACCACCTTGGTGCAGTGTGGTGAATTTTATGGAGGAAAAAGATCAATTACTTTTAGTATGAAAAATTATATATTACATATATGCATATTATTACATACTATTACACATTTCAACTGTATGTTTATTCCAAAAGACAATCAGTAAACCTAATTACGAATGTGTTTTTGTTGTGACAGAAATTTCGCAGTTGTCGCCTATGAGAAAGAATTTGAAGCATTGTTCGTATAACAATTTTGCAGAAAAATAATGTATTCCTGCAGAAATTTCACCTCTCATTCTTCTAGAGGAAATTCCTACAAGCATAAATTTTAAATATAAGACAAAAATTATCATAATTTTTCTATGAAAGCCATTGGCATTTGGAATACAATAAAAATAATGTATACAGAACTGAATATTTTTCATGTGCATAGTTGCCTGAATAATTGTTATGCACCGGAGTTTGGTGTATTCTGAAACTTTGGCAATTTCTACTAAGGTGGTTGCGATAATCTGTAAGTACATTTTCTTTTAAGAATTTGAATTTTGTGCAGAGTTTTTTAATTTCCATTGCTTTTTACTTCTAAAACTATAAGAATTAGAAGACTTTTTTTTTTTTCGAAAAAAAAAAAAGAAGTATTAGTCAAAATAGGTTTTTGACGTATTAAAAGGCAAAGATTCTAATCAGAAGGTGAAGCTACATGGTAGGGATGATGCTTGGAAAACAGTAGATCAGTTTGTAAAATATGAATCTTTGCTTAAGCTCATTGTCAAAAATATTGGCTGAAGGTAAGAAAATATGATTGTGAATTATTTATAATTTTCTTATTAGAATGCATATCAGAGTTTGGGTGTTTATGTATCTGTGATCCCGAGATTTATTCATTTCATTTAACTTATGAAAACCACCATTAATAACATATTCATTGAAAGTTAAGTATGGTGATATTAAATAAACTTATTTAAAGCTGTGTATCTACTTAATTTATGTAGCTATTAAGCTGTGTATCTACTTAATTTATCTTTACTTAATCAGACCTTAATTTTACATTTTAGAGTTTTTCATGGTTTTATTCCATTGTGAAAAATCTTGCATTGAGCTTCAGTTTTTTGACTGTTTCCACTTGCTGGACATCTTGGTTACTATATTCTTCTGGCTGGAAGTAAGATTGATTTATATAATTCAGACTTTTTACATAACAATTAAAATTTTTTGTTAATAGAATCATTATTATGATTAACAAAATTAATCAGTTCTATTTTTAATCTGTAATCTTTATTGCAACATTGCAATTAAAATCATCCATAACCTTCAGTTCTATATAATTTAAATTTTATTTAGCAAACCTAAATGTTAAAAGCTTCAGTTAATTTTGTAGTTTGTTTTATTTTTCTGAGTATCTTATTTTATGCAAGGCTAACATAACCTGAATTCAAAATTTCCATGAGCATCAGAAATGTAATTCAAATGCTGCCTATTCTTGAAATCATTTTAGTGTTATAAAAAGTATTTTTAGTATTTGCTTTTAGGGCACGTTCATATGTTATGTTTTCATGTAATATTTAATATTGTATGACTTTTTCATGTTAATCCAAAGTCATTTCCCCAATTAAATAGTTGGAAACTGTTTTTAAAAATCTTACTATTATTAGATTTCATGTTATTGCATCGCAAAATCTTCATTTAGTAATCTGCCTTTTTTTTAAAATGGGAAATTTGCTTCATTATTCAAGTATTTGCTTTCCAAATGACTACAACTGCAGTTTTCAGTCTGAAGCTTCTGGATTTCAGTTTTGTTGCCTTGAAGAGTTTACCATTAAAGTTTCATTAAATTAAATAAATATTTAAAAAAATTAAAAATAATGAGATTAAAAAGAAATTGCATCTGCTTTTGTTATGTAGATTTCAGCTTAACCTTTGAAACAAGAATCAAGTTTAAGAATTTGTTGCCCAGAGATTAATGATATAGAATGTGGAATGTTCTTAATTAGTGGAACCTTGGATTACATGTTTTGGATAGTGAACAAATTATTGAAACAAAAAGTGTCTTGAGTAGTAACTATCAGTCCACAGGCTGAATCAAATTCTTCATTCGGTTATTAATATATATAAATGTTACATCAAAATGCTGCTTTTAGTAATTTTCACACATGAAAAGAGAATTTTAGCTGAAGAAAAAATTTTGCTTTACACTAAATTGTGAGCCAACTGTGTGTGTTTGTATTCATATACAAGCATAGAGTTAGAGACAGTTTGGCAATCATATAATACATTATAATAAGTGAAATGATATTGTGATGTATAGTTATGCTTTTCCTTTTGAAATTCTAGCAAGCTATTAATTGAAATATAGAAAATATTAATCCATGAATGATTCTGAAATAAAAAACTTTTCATTAAATTTGACCATACATCAGTAATTTTTATTGCAACCGGGACTGTATCTTCTTTCTGATGAATAATTTTTGCAATTTAGTAAATGTTCATAGTTTTCATAATTTCTGCATTATCTGAGCTTTTCAGATATTCTTTCTAATTGTAATATGCCATTAGGTCTAACTGTAACAACTTGTATTAAAGTAATCATTTTCTTGAAAGTACTTTTTTTAGTAGTTTCTATTTTTATTACTACTAAAGTAATAACCCTTTTTTTTTCTTTTCAGATGGGTAGATGCATATCGGGATGCATTATCTTTTCGATCCAGTCATTATTTTGTCAGTTATATGTCTGCAGCTACAGCCATTACATCTGGTTTGCGGTAAGTCTAGAAAGATATTTTGTACAAAAGATGAAAATTGAAGTATAAATTATGTAATTTTATGATATTTGAAAATGAGACTTTTCATAGTTAATTGAATTCATGTGATATAAAAAATCTGCAAATGTTCCATATTATTTTTGTTTGAGAAGTATTTTCTGTAACAAAATTACAAAAAAAGTATTGTTACTCAAAAATCAGAGGATATACTTTGAAATAATCTGTAAGAAACTGCATTCTTCACGGTATAAGAAATTTGAATGTGAAACTATAGAAAATAGAAGAAAACTTTTCTGTTCTCGCAATGAATCATTGTTATTTGGCAATAAAATATTTTATTGATATTCTACAATTCCTTTTAGTAGTTTGGTTTGGTTATTTGAATATGTCAAAGCACACCAGGGCTATCTGCTTAAAGGAAGGAATGCCTTTCTGAAATATTTTCAAAGAGAAAGTACCTTGTATTCATGTTATACAGGGCAAAATCCAATCATGCAACCGACCTGTTTGCCTGGGTTCAAACCCAAGATGAACTATCAATATTCAGCTTTCTTTAACTGCTCGGCTACTGGCGAGGCCCTTTTAGATGCATATAGTATTTTTATTTATGTTCAGTTAGTAATTATAAGTAATGAGTGTGCATTCAGTTTGAGAGAAGCAACTGAATTCCAAACCACTGAATATGTTCCAGATCTTGTCAACATCTTGAAACATTATCAGGGTCTGGGAAATAATATTTGACATAAACTCTTAGCTATGTTTTAAAGAGTTGCGTAATACATTTTTCTAACCATGAGAAAATATCAAATAATAAATATCTTTAGCTGACTAGAAATTTACAGAAGACTATTTTATGGCATAATGTTTGTAAAAAAAAAAACCCTGCAAAAGAAATCTCAACTTATTGGCTTTCTGTGCTCTTTAAGTTTTGACATTAAGCATAAATTATGCTGATCACAATTACAACTGTTCTCAGAAAATTAATTGGTACTTTTCCGTTTTGCCTGTGCAGACGATTAAAGTCACGAATAATGGTACAACTGATGCCAAACAAACAGAATATCCTCGCTGGTAACCTTTTACGCCTCATTTTCAAAACACTTCATGGCTATTTCTTATCAGATTGATTGTTTCTTCCAATACTGGCGTACAATTACATAGCATTTTTACCAGATAGTTCAATTTTATGCCTTCAGGCCATTCGCAGTAATTAAGTCAATTAGGATGCAATCACACTGCTCACCCGAAGGTGAAAATATAGAAAAGGCAAAGTCAAGTGTTAAATTCATTAATTCTAATGAGAATGCACTAGCGAAGTAAAGCACTGCGGTTTTACATAGTTTCTAAGTAAGCTTTTTGTACGAATTGAAATAATTATTTCATTTAAACTTGTATTCCAAATGAAGATTTAACTTGAAATTAATGTAGAGAGAATTAGATTTTTGTACCGTAGTTTACGTGAGATGAGATCGCTTGGGGTCATGTGATATGAACTGGCGAATCAGGATGTTGAACCATAAAACCATAGTAAATTCTCAAATTAATGTCTTTTTACAAATATATTGTCTTTATATATTGGCTTTTTACAAAATTTTAAACGATATTAAGATGTATATGCCTTCAAAATAAAAAATTAAGAACTAACATTTGTTAACTTTTTTATATATATACTGTATGTTGTCGCCCATAAAGTCTGCTTGGAGAGATTTACGCCGGCGAAACGGAAAAGTAACAATTAATCTTTTCAGTGATTAGTTGCCATTCAGTTTAAATACTGACTGTAATTTCATAAGGATGTCAGGGGCTCACTATTTGTGAGAACAGGTGTGGCAATTCCAAAGTACTCTAGCTTTCGAAGGAATCACCTTGGTGAGATGGAGGCCATGAGCCTGGAACCCGACTTATCTTTCCTTCTTTCTTTTCCTCTTTTTTTTCATCCCTTGTGATTTTCCTTTACATAGTTTGGGGTCAGACTAAAATGCTGTTATATCCCTTTGTTTCTAGTTTTCATGGAGAGTAAACTGCCAAATGTTTGCTGTGCATGGAGACCCATACAGCTGCAGAAGAGGATCTTGGTAGTGAGGAACGAGGTACTATGCCCAACATACTGCTTTGGCTTGTGCTTGAGTCCAAATGGGAGGCACATAGCTGTCCTCACTAATCTTTTGTGTCAGTGGCTTGGAGATAATATTTGGGTAGTTACTTTGCCGTTCAACCACTGGTGAGCCTCCTGTTTTGGGGAAAACTGACTGTGGGGCTTCAGATTACATATACACCCATTTAGACATGGTGCAATAATCTGCGTCCCCTTGTTGGACTCCGGAATGGGTGGTGGTGGTGAGCCCAAATTTATATTCATTTCTAATATGGTTCTACTATTTCTCAAACAACTTCTGAAAATGCATCTTCATTAAAAAATAATAAAATAAAAACACTTATAAATGTTAATGCTGATCAGAAAAGTACTTTTTTTCCTTTCTTATTGGTTGTATTAACAGAAACAACCAAAATACCCTCCTCACTTCTAAATCAAAATCAGTTTCTAGATTTTTGATGAATAATATAATGCCCATTTGTCATTCATAGCATCTCATTTACATTTCAAAATTACACATTTGCAAAACTTTTAAAAATTTCTATTTAAATCTTCTAAGTGCTTGTTTAAGTTTTATAAAATCCTTTTAATAAACTTCACTGTGAAGAAAGCTTTTAAATTTATAAATTTCAGCAAGACTAGGAATGTATTTAATAAACACAAAGGGTATTAATATTACGATTTTTACTTTAGAATATCTGCTGTTGTATCTGCATTTGATATTGAGGTTCCACGTTCTCTGGTGGAGGTAGTAATCTGGTGGAATGTTCCCATGCACTTCTGGCTCAAAACATGTAAGTCTGATATCTGTTTTTAAAATTACATTCTCTTTGTATAAACATACTAATGTCAAAGGTATTCAAATTTCTCAGATCCCTAGAACAGTGATGTGATTAAGAAACTAACTATTAGATTCTTCTTGATGTCATCATCTCAAAATGAGCCTTCCTTCCCCCCAAGAGGCAGCTTAGTGTTTCTATTTCATTTGCTTTACACTCTTTTCAAATTAAAACTTATGTGACTTTGAAATTAAAAGTGAATGGAATATCTCATGTTGGTACTAACCTATGAACCTACACTATTATTTTGTTATATTTATATCATTAAATATATGACTGCTTTTCATGCTTAAATATTAATAACTAATATTTAGTTCAAAATTTTATTTCAAGTGTTTTGTTTATACTGATAGTTATATATTTAATATAAGAAAATAATCTGACATTTTTACATATATTAGTGGGATTTATATGCACTTCCTTACCTTTTAAAATTTAAAATTTCCCTTTTATTTGTCACATTTTTGCCTAGAAATTTTTATACTTTTTTTATGGTTTAGTGAATTTTTAGAATAATTTTAAAATGGTTATGTAAGTTAGGTGAAAAGCTAGGGAAAATGAATCGAAGTGAAGTTATAGTCAGTTTGCAAATAGAGTGGAATTAATTGCTTTAATTTTTTCTGTAGTTTTCTCATAGTGTTTCCTTACAATCTACAAATATAGTGTTAACTCAACCAGATATAGTGTTAACTGTTAATATAGTGTTAACTGTAGTCTTTTCACTGTAAGGGAAAACTACTCGAGGACCATGAAACTGTCACTAAGGAGCACAATCTAGCACCAATTATGGATAAACATGGCGTAACAACACACTCATAACATCTGTGCTTTCATTTGGTGCAATACCAATTGATTTTCTTAATAAGTAATCTTTTGTCTTTATGAAAAAGGATAAATTAACTGTCAGCGCTGTATTTTTTCTTGCATTTTGAAAAAAAAAAAAAAAAAAAAAAAAAAAAAAAAAAAAAAAAATTAAAATTTGGTACCTGCTTTCTATAGATCAGCAAGAAAAGAATTATTTTCAGTTATGGGATCCTACCATAAAAACAAATGTGTTTTAATGAACATAATATAGTACATTATTCAAAAATAATAAACAATAGCGTGCAATGGGAAAAATTGCATAAACAGTATATCCATTCAAAAGAGAACCTGGTTTGAGAGCTATAGAACATTGTCTGAGAGCTACATTTGTAACTGCAGTCTGGTTGATTTACAGCCGGCTCATTTATGTCCTTTAACTATTCAGTCTACAACTTGAATGAAAGTAAGACTGCAATATTGATATGACTTATACACTGTGTATGGGAAAAGTAATGACCTTGTCATTTAGCAATTGAATTTGATTGAAAATTTTATTATGTGTAGGATGGTTTATAAAAAAGAATAAGATTTTTCTTTCTTCTACCCACCTTGCCATACAAAAATATGCCATATATCAGAGACCATATTGTCTTTTTATTATTTGAAGTCTCCAAGATTTATCTCCTGTATTTGTTTTTTTCTCTGAGAATTCATGAAATTAACCATGTATGCAGTACTTGCATCTTTAGCAGCAGATTGGTGCAAGAGTGTATTTCATATTTACTGAGCAGATAGAATATGTGCAGCATGAAACTGCCACTTTGATATATAATTAACTTACTGAATGTACATTCATAGAAGGTCTCATGTAGCAAACTTTCATCTGAGTTATAACACATTTTTTATCATTGTTCTTGTGTGATACTTGAGCTGTTTTATATGTTTGGACTGATAAGTAAAGCCCTATGTAACACATACATTTTTGTACTGCAAGAAATGATGATTTATAAGCAAGTAAATTCTCATCCTCCTTTTTGTTTATAGAAGGGGGTTTAAGCTTGTATCTTTAAGCTTTTTTACCTTGTATGTAGTTAAGAGCCTAATTAAAGAAGAATTCTTTAATTAGGCTCTTCAAACAAATTTGTTGTTTTGAAAGTTTAATAATCAAAATGAAGTTTACTTTTTATCCTTTCTTAGAATGACTTCTGGTCAATAAGAACAAGAATAGCATTTGTTCAAATGCTTTTGTATGGTTTACACTTTTTCTGACATTTAAATTTTTAAGCGTACTTGTAATCTTATGAATAGTAGTTATCAGAAGTAGAAATTTTAAATCATTTTATCTGTTGATATGTAGTATTTGCAAAACAAAAATCTTAAAATTTTGATATAGCAACTTTTTATAGACTACTAAATAAACAATTTATTGATAGTTTTAAAAATCTGGTCATTATGGTAGTCAAAACATATATGGTTCTGTTGTTACAAAGTATATTGGATACATGTGATATGTGTATTAGTATATATAATTATTCATCTTTTATTTCCTTTAAAATTGCATCATTTTTATCTTCAGATGTCTTTAAAACTGCAAGGCCATTAGGTGATTTTATTGCCATATTGCTTACCTATGCTGCCAGCTCGTTTCTTCATGTAAGTAAAATTAATTACTTAATAAATATAGTGATGTAATATTGGATTTTCCCCAAAAAAATTGTTGTTTAAGGTATCATAACCTTCTCCTCTGTTTATTTCTTATCTTTTAGTCATATTATAAAGCTTATACATTGTGCATGGCAGCTGTAATATTTGTAAATGTAATATGTGTGGTGATATTTAAGTGTTACTTAAACAAATTAAATGTTTATTTAAAATTCTTATTGAATGCTAATGGACAAATGCAGTATTAAAAAAATCATTATATGTAATAGTACTGAAATGTTGTGTAATTTATTGGAATAAATAATTCATAGCTTTTGAAAAATGTTAGATTGACCTTTTTATTAAATTTTGATGCTACTAACATATTATCCCATTGACCCTGAAACTGCATTCAAGCTATGCAATTTAGCGCCAGTTATGAATAAGTGTGATGTAACAACACACTCATAACATCTGTGTTTTCTTTTGGTGTAACCTGATTGATTCCCAGTAAGCCGTCTTTTGATTTTATGAACAAGGATATAAATTAACTTAAAAAAAAAAAAAAAAGAAAAAAAAAAAAAAAAAAAAAAAAAGAAAGAAAGAAAAAAAAGTCCGTAAGCTTTCAGATTTTATATAACACCCAAAGAGGCAATTTTTTTTTCCTCCATTTACATACACATGCACATTTTGAGAGCATTTGGGCTAATGTCCCTTTGAATTAAAAATAGCTAAAAACAGCATATCTTTAGAATTACCGATAGATTTTTCTATACATTGTTACAATCGCCCGTTTTGAAATCATTGATTTTATTAATCAAAAACTCATTAAAGTTTCAGAAAATATAAAATAGACAATAAAACAAATTTGAAATTTCACAATGTGAAAAACATGCATACATTCATGCAAATCCTTCATTATTTAATTTCTTTAAATGTAATACAGGGAGATAATATTTGGTAGTAGCAATTTTAAAAGTGAAATGGACATTTATAGTGAATTAATGCAAACTACTGTTTTGAGGCTAATAGCACTTCTGGGCTAATGCACCTTTGAGCTAATTATTGCTGTATTTTTCTTACATTTGAAACTAAGTATTTAAATTTGAGATTTGCCTTCTACAGAGCAGCAAGCAATGGATTATTTTCATTTTCAAGTTATGAAAGCTTACCATTAAAAAAGTATGTATTAATGGGCATGATGTGATTAGCTGAATATAGCCAAAAAGACAGTAATAGATTGGAATAATTACCTGTAGGAACTTCACTTGTAGTGGTCTAAACAGAACTTCCGATAAAATTAGAAGGTTTGACTTAATAATAGAAATCGACAAAAGGCCTTCTGTGAAGCACAAAAGAAAATGAGTTAAATGCTGATTGTTTATTAGATGAAGAGCTGCTAGGTTTTTTTTTTTTTTTTTTTTTTTTTTTTCAGAATTCCATAGGAATATTTGACACAATTTTGGTGGGATTTTGACTAACTTTCAGGGTTTGATAATAGCCAATGTTCACAGTAGATGGAATATTATTTAAGTACAATTTTAAAATTAAACCTGAGATGCTTAATTGCCTCAAAATTCTATGACTGAAATGTTATGTGTTATAATGAAACACAATCAACTGCAGTATTTTTATTATAAAAAGTCTTCAACTAAGTCTGTGTTCTCATATCCTTTTCTAAAATTTTCTGACCTGTAATGAAAGAGAAAAATAATGTCTTTATCTAACTATTAAGCCCACCAGTGGCCGAGCGGCAAAGTCGCTGAACACTGATAGTTCGGTCTGAGGTTCGAATCCCGTGAACGGGCTGGCTGCATGAGTGTTTTCGTGGTTTTCCTCATGTGTAACGTGTATACGGGCCAGTTTCCCTTAGAAAGTCCTTCACGAAGGCATTCCTCCCCTTAGGCAGATAGCCCTAGTGTGCTTTGCCATAATTAAATACACACACATTATCTAACTATTAAAGGAAAAAGTAAGCCTAGGAAACTGAATTTGAAAAGTAAAAAGGAAGTTAAAAAATATTTATGCAATTAGAATTAAAAAGATGATTGCTGAATCAAAAATAATTAAAAAAATTTTTCTCTAAATATATTTTAGTGTAATGATTTTAATATAAGTAGAAAATCTCTTTCAAAAGCTAGCAATAGCATTTGAGTTTTTAAAAAACAGTTTTATTCAAATATGATCAATTTCTTTTCTTCTTAAAAAAATTAAAACTGAAATATACTTGTATGTCATGGAGGTTTTTATGAAAAAATATTAATTATTTAATTAATCTCTATAGTTGAATGCTAATTGAAAACCAACCCTATTTAAAACCTCTATCAGGCAACATAACTTTTCCAATCAACAACTTTCACATATTTTTAAATGCTTGTAACACCATGTGAAAGTTCTTTTGACAAGTAAATAAGCCACAGTCCTATTAAATAAGCCATAATAATGTCTTTCTCCTTCCCTCAACTTTTAAGCTTGTATCTATCTCTTGGTATTTTCAGCATTGATGTATAAATGCATTTTGAGACCATTTTTGCATATTCTGTTACAAATAACAAGCCTTTTTGTTTTTTGGCATCACTTTGAGGTTTACCTAACAAAATATATGCAGCACTAGTATAAAAGGCCAGAGCTAAGCGTTTTGCCACCCGGTGCAAACTCTGCAGGGCTTAAATTTTGCTGCCTGGTGCCTCCCTAAAAATTTTGTTATACCTAAATTATGTTGCCTAGTGCAGTTGCATAAGAAACAAATGCTCTTTTGAAGCCATATTAACAGAAATTGCAGGTATGTAGCAATTTCTGCTAATTTACACTTTCTTTTGATTTACCATTAAAATAGATTGTGTATGAATTTTTTTTTTTTTTAAATTTAATTTATGTAATTGCATTTGGGCATTTGTTTTAGGGATTGAACTTTCAGCTTTCTGCAGTTCTTCTGTCTCTGGGTTTTTATACATATATAGAACATGGTAAGAATATCATATTCAGTCTAAAATTTTTTAATGAAAAGATACTAATATATTTTTGAAAACATTTATTGATATTTGCAAAGATGTATTTAAATTTAATGATTAATTTATATACAGGGTGATTATAATTAAATTTTAAGTTTCAAAACGCTATAAAAAAAGAACCACTGATGAAAATGATGTGAAATTTGAAAGGAATGTTATTGAAGAAGGCGGAAAGCGTATGGCAGAAGAAAAAATTTAGTTTCAAAAGTTAGCAACAGATGGCGCTGTAAGCGGCAAAATCACGACGAGAAACGAGAAGCGATTCGTAAAACAATGGCTAAGGTGGAAGTTACACATTAAAAACGCATTGACAAATTAGAATTGTTGAATAATTTTATTTGCATGACTGTACATATCACATCGAAAGGGACAAATCGGTTTCAAGAGTTTTGCGGCGACATACCGCATAAGAACCATTCATCAAAGAAGTTCGGAACTGTCGCGAGACTGGCACAAAACATGTTCAATATGGTTGTTGTGTGCAACAAGTTGAAAGCGACAAACAGCATGTTCCACAACGGATCGCAGTGTCTCCGGGGTGATGTTCAGAATGTGTTGCGAAATGCGTGCCTTTAATTCCGCTAAATTTGCAATTGGAGCACGGAACACAACATCCTTCAGATATCCCCACAGCCAGAAATCACACGGAGTAAGATCAGGCGATCGGGACGGCCAGGCTGTAGGGAAATGACGGCTGATAATTCGAGCATTTCCGAAATGGCGCCTCAGCAGCTGCTTCACGGGATGTGCAATGTGCGGAGGAGCGCCATCTTGCATAAAAATGATTTCATCCACACATCCACGCTGTTGCAGAGCTGGAATCACGTGGTTGCGCAAAAGAGACGCATACCTCTGACCAGTGACGGTTGCGCAGTAACAGGACCGGAAGCACCCGTCTGCTCGAAAAAATATGGTTGTAGGATGAATGATGCCGTAAAGCCACACCATACCGTGACCTTTTCAGGATGAAGTGGTACGGGGTGCGTTGCCAGTGGATTTTCTGTTGCCCATATTCGACAATTCTGGGTATTCACGTATCCTGTCAGATGGAAATGGGCTTCATCTGTCCACAAAATTTTCCACGGCCATTCATTATCCACTTCCATGCGAGCCAGGAATTCTAACGCAAACGTCTCCCTAGCTGTCAGGTCAGACGGAAGCAACTCCTGCACATGGCCAATTTTGTACGGATAGCATTGCAGGATGTTTCGTACAATTTTCAGCACCGTGCTCGTAGGCCTGTCCAATGTTCGGGCAATTCCTCGTGCACTGCACGGTTGCACACCACCGGCCGACCCCTCCTGTAATGCTGTGGCCACTTCTTCAACTACCGTCGAATGCACTCGTTTTCTCCCTCTACCAGATTGCACATCAAACAAACCTGTCGTTTCGAATTTTTGCATCATTTTCTTTAGACCTACGACACTCATTGGACGAACGCTTTCTTTTATACCCTTCAGTGTCCTGAATTTTTGCAGAGCTACTCTTGCACAATCATCATTCTTGTAATACAGCTTTACCAGCAGAACGCGGTCCTGCAGTGAAACACCCATGGCGAACGTCTGAGACGCGAAATGAGGAACAGCCTGGTATCTGACGGCTTTATAACACTGAAATTTAACTAACATTTTAATTTGTCTTCTTCCGCTTGCAGCGCCATCTGTTGCTAACTTTTGAAACTAAATTTTTTCTTCTGCCATACGCTTTCCGCCTTCTTCAATAACATTCCTTTCAAATTTAGCGTCATTTTCATGAGTGGTTCTTTTTCTATAGCGTTTTGAAACTTAAACTTTAATTATAATCACCCTGTATTACCTTATCTTAAAAATTTTGATTTACAATTTAGTCTAAAAGTATTAAACTATTTGATTCAACTTAAATTAATCATTACTTCTTAATTACCCTATTTGCTGGCTTATAAGATGCACCTCCTTTTTTTGTACACATTTTTGAAGGATAAAATTTTGTTACTGATCATTATAATGAATTTACAGTATTTTAAATATAAAGTAATACAAATAGAAAGTAATACTTCTGCAAATACCAATCTATGAGTTGCTTTTCTAGATCATGTACCTGATTCTGCTAAGTTCTTATCATTTTCTTAGTTGGGGGTGGCCCGAAATGCCTCTCTGCAGCTCTGTTTCCATGTACTTTACCATATGCAATCACACGTAGCTTGTATGCTATGTTATAGCAATGCCGACATTGTTTTTGAGCCATGACTTGCCAACAAATTTAAGAAAATTGAACAGTAGAAATTTCACTCACTTAAAAGTCATTCACAAAAACTAGAAAGTTTAAACAAATCCTGCTGTGATCGTCTGATGACAGCGCATGCACATTCACTGAACTCTACAAAAAACTGTAATATTCCTACACTTTGGAAGGAAACAAGAAAAAAAAAATCACTTAACTCCGAATAGAGAAAATTTCCAGAAATGAATATAATAAAAAATTGAATATCGACGTATGAGACGCAGTATCGACGTATAAAATGCACCCTGTTTTTCAGACTTATTTTCAAAGAAAGAAAGTGAATCTTATACTCCTCCAAATATAATATTTAATTTTAAATATGCACTTTTTTAAAAGCATCATGTATCATAATATGTTAGCATTTTCACAGTTTCATATTTGTGTTTCCTCCTTGAATTAATATATCAAATTTATACTTGATTTTCATGGTGTCTTTTCTAGTATTGAGGAAGAAGCTATCAAATATTTTCAATGCTTGCATTTTGGCAAGGAGGTGCAGATCTGAGTGTGATCATTTATTTAAATATGTAAGTATGATAAATTCCATGTAATAAATATAGCATTGATTGATAAGAAGCTAATTAGGTTTAGAAGAAGGCTCATTATATTAAGGCTGTGATTATTTATAGATTTATTACTTTCACATAATATTTAAATTAATAATATGTAATGATGTTAGTATGCAAGGGGACGTAGTTTGCAATGTTAGTATGCAAGATAGGTTATTCGCTAGCCAAGTAAATATTTTAGTTTTTAAGAAAGTTTCATTTCTAAATTGTATACGGACTCCTTCCCGCCTTCTCCCCCAACAAAATACAGTGCAAACTGTTAAATTTTTTATGACTATTGATTGCTTTATTTAGTTAATATGTAAAGAAATATCTGTAATGCATAATTTAGAGGTTTTTTTTTTTTTTTTTTTTTTTTTTTTTTTTTTTTTTGCTGTTATATTAAAAATATCATTTTGGTTAGTATATGTATTTTGCTGTACAGTATACAGCACTTAAGTTGCATAGAATGTATGTATCACAAATTATTAATCTGAGCTTATTTCTCAAAGTTAATATTTTCAATTAACTCATGAATTATTTTAATTAATTTTTATTTTCAGAAAAATGTAGATAGATGATTTGAAAATGATTTCGAGTTTCAAATACTGATGACTTCATGCATTAAAATTTATCTCAGTTTTTGCAGAATCAGATATTGTCAGTGAGATAAAGAGAAAAAAATGTACTCATATAATACTATAAAGACTCCCTTGCATATTTTCATGACACAAGACTTAAGTATAACAAGATTTTTATTGTAAGCTTCATGGTTCTGATCCCGACAAAGGTGCATTTGGTTTTTCATATTACTTGATCTGAAAAATTCAAGACCCTGCAAAATGGCATCCAAACTAAAAAGATCTGATGGATGCCAACTGTCAACCCCCTGAATTTGGTCACCTGAGTCTCTTGCTTCTGTCCAGTCAGTCATTAATTGGGGGAGAATATAATGAATTACTGTAGTCTCTTGTGCGTCCTCTGATGGTGTAACATTTTGTCACATTCAGCTAGTAGTTAAAAGTTCCATGGTTTGAATCCTGGCAAGGGAATAGTTGATATTTCATGTTTTTCTCTTCAAAAGTGTTATAAAGGTCTATAAAGTTTTTATTAAATAAAGCATTTTTATCATGTGTAATTTTTTAAGGGGTGTTGAAAGCCAAAAGTCTTCAAAAAATGGTGATTTTGGATTTTTGCATTTTCACTTTCACTACATTTTTAGCTTTCTAAAAATATCATTCTTTAATCTTTATGAAAATTAGAACTCTAAAAAATATAATTTTAATTTGTCATCGAATGCTTTAATAAATAAAGATTTTTACATAAAAAAGCATTTTTCTGTGAACGTGATTTTTTTATACTCGATGTGCCTTTTCTCAGGAACTACTGCTCACAGATATCTAAAATTTTTATGGCTATTTATTATGTTTCCTTATATTTACTGAAATGAGCTTTTTATGATAAACTAAGAAAAAAAATTTTATGTGTGAGAAAAGTGCTAAATTTTACTATGCCTAACAAAATATTCTGTAAATTACACTAAAATTCAAAATGTTTCAAAAGCTCATTTCAGTATAATCAGATAGGTATACTTTAATTACACAAAAAATTTCAAGCATGTATCTACAATAGACTTTTATAAAAAGTACATCGAAAATGTCCAATTTAACATTGTTGGTATAGGGTCTAAAAATCTCATAGTGGGATTTCCACTATGGGAAGTAATACCAAAAAAAAAAAAAAAAAAAAAAAAAAAAAAAGTATGCGTAATTTTAGCTTGAATTTCTTTATAAGTTTAATTGTTTTTTTTTTTTAATGGCGAGCACTTGCTTGTAACGGCATTAACCACTACTAAGGCCAGGGGTGGTGACCATTTTATTGTGGGGGCACCTAATAGGTGGCCATCGTTACTTCCTATGAAGGGACAGACAGTTTTACATCCATGCCTTCTCCAGGAATTGGGGGCCCACCGACAGCCGAGCGGTAAAGTAGCTGAACACTGGTAGTTCGGTCCGAGGTTCGAATCCAGTGAACAGGCTGGCTGCATGGGTGTTTACGTGGTTTTCCCCATGTATAACGTGTATACAAGCCAGTTTCCCTTAGAAATTCCTCTGCGAAGGCCTTCCTACCCTTAGGCAGATAGCCCTCGAGGCTTTGCTGTAATTAAATAACCTAACCTAACCTCCGGGATTCAAACCGTGCCCTTCGGTATCACAGTTAGGCTCCCCTAAACACTATATCATCTGCGCGTCAGTAACGACAATGGCCACTTGTACGGCTAGAAGTGGTGGCCGTTTTATTGTGGAGACAACTAATAGGTGGCCACTGTTGCCTCCTGTGAAGGGACAGACAGTTTTAGATCCATGCCTTCCCTGGGATCCGAACCCGGACCTTTTGGTATTGCAATTAGGCTCCCCTAACCACTATATCGTCTGAGGGAAAAAATAAATAATTCTTCCCAAATGAAGAACATTGTAAAACATTTTTCTTAATTTATGAGAATAATGTGATAAGTAATATTACCATTATGAATCATTATCTCTGTACTACCTCTCAATAACATTTATAAGAAAATGCATAGTCTCCAAGTCTACTTTTTCCATTTAGGACCACCCTTATGTTGTAATTACTAATATTGCCTTTGGACTGCTTTCTGTTTTCCACCTTGCTTATTTAGGAGTCATGTTTGATAGCTCTTCATCTCTTGAAGAGGAGGTAAGAACTTATTCAACTTTTTTTTTATAGCTTCTGTTTATATATTAGTTTATTTACTTTTTTTTCTTATATACATATTTGGTATACATATTGTCTCGTGTATGCATATCTGCTAACTTTCAAATTTTTTGCAGTATGCACAAAAACTATTATATGATCTTATACACAAAATCCTCTTTTTATGAATTATGTAATTTTATGGGCAGATGATAAAAGTTGTGCTAGTTTGCCAGTTTGTTACCATATAGTATTTTAAATGCATATCTTACAGGCAATCAAGTTGCTATTTAAATCTTCACTCTTTGTTTCATAAGAAGTTCTTAGGATTTTGAAATATAATTTTGTTTATTTTTTCATTATTTTGTTGTTATGTATTATTAAGTTTGGCAACTTATCAGCATTTTGCTGATTCTAAGATCAGTTTGTCAAAAAAAGTTTGGTTTGGTTACTTGTGAATTTCATGATGATTTTTTAAAACAATAGCATCATGATAATGCAATTAAAATAATAATAGTGTGTTAAGATAGTTTTTTTTAATTAAATAGAACTAAAATGAATTTTTGTTTCCTCCCTCTTGTTTTAAAATGTCTTTACTTTTCATTTTGAATTCATCTGATTTTTGAATATCTTAATTCCAAAACTGAAACAAGATAGTTATTTTTGGCAATATAATTGAATTATTTTTCAGCAAAAGCAAAAATCAGATATATATCAGTTTGGTCCATGAAAATCATTGTACACTCTTTCTTAAAATTTTCTTTTTGTGTCTTTTTTTTTTTTTTTTTTCTTACAAAGCTGACAGGCATGATGATCTGATATTAGAAAATATAGCGTGGAAGCAATTATATGGCATGAATAAGAATGTGATTACTAGGTTTAACACAGTTTGCATAAACTGCAGCTTATGCAGTTTTGAGCATTTTTGAGCATTTGCAGTTCAGGAATATTACCTGGCAACTAGTGAGCAGTTTTATTCCATATATTTTTGTGAATTTTCTTTTTAACACAAGAATTCTTCCCAAAAAAATCAGTTGAATTTCTTATAGATAGATACATAATAATACAATATTTTATTTAGGATTAACATAATGTTCAGTCAATGATTTAGTATTCACGTGGATAATTGGGCAAAGCAAAACTTGTGTTTGCCATAGATTATAGTCAAGTCTCTATCAATTTTGAGAGCAAACAACTGTAGGTCTCTCTTCATCAGGAACAAAGAAATATGCAGTGAAGAGAAAGCCATTATTGTATTCATATCCAAAAGGAGTAATGCGAACAAAAAGCTATCACTATCTGTTGGCAGAAATAGTAACAAAAAATGAAAAATAAGAGGATTTTAATACCATTAGGAAGAACTAGATTGGAATTAAAATCATTAACTAAACAATATAATTCTTTGTGAATGTAAAAAGATTCAAGAAAATTCAGTTCACCAGTGGAAGAAGCTTTTTAGATAATTTTTGCAGGCCCCAAATCAAAACTGTGATTTTTTTAAACTAAGTCCTTATTTCTAAATTCTAAAAGCTCACACCCCAATCGGCTAGTCCCACCAATCCAGTTAAAACTTTCCACTGTAAATACTAATCCCATTGTTAATATTTCTAATGTTAATCGTTTGAAGGATCATATGAAAATATTAACTATAACTTCAACTTTTCAAAGACATTTAAACATTCATTTTCTCAAATCTTTGCCATATTGAAAAAACTTTTAAATCATCTAAAACTTCAGAAACACAGAAATACACAATTTGTCACTTAATTACTCATAACATTAATTTTAATAACAAATCATTTGTTTCGAATCTTAATCAAAAGGAAAGAAGGGCCTAATCTGAAATTCATTCTAATTCTAAGATTATAATTTCCAAAGCTGGTTGGGTGGATAGATTGTTACTATGGATGAACACACATACATTGAGGAAATAAAATACTGATAAATGAATACTGCTCAGTTCCTAAAGTTCCTTAACTTCTGACCTCATGAAAGTTAAAAGAGTTGTTAAATATTTTCTTATACTTCCAACTCAGTTTAAAGAATCATTCATTCCATCTATTGCCAACTGTGCTAAGTTTTAGGCTTTCATTAAAGTCCACAAAATTGAAATTCCTTTTTGAACTGAATCATATTCTTTGACCAAATATTTAGTTTCCATATTTTGTCCTTTACTTTCTAAAAATATTTACAATGTAAAAAAATCTTTTAAAGTCATTGATAAACTTAAGCATATTTCTCTCCTGCTCTCCATTATGATTTCTTCCGATGTTGAACCACTGTTTATTAATGTTCCAGTCAATGGAGCTCTAAAATGTTGTGAAATTAGGCTTCAAGAATTCCATTTCATATGTACTGAAACTGAATAGTTAATTTTTCTTATTAAAGTCTCTTTGAGTCAAATTCACTTTGTTTTCTAAAATGAATATTATTGCCAAGTTGAAGGATTAGCTATGGAAAATCCTTCCAATCCTGTGCTTTCTGACATTTATGTCCACTATTTTGGGGTCAAATTATTTAAGAAACTACCTAGTCTCTGAATTCACTATGCACACAAAACTTTTGTGCTTTTTGATTGTAATAAAAAAGAGATTTATTTTAGATTTTATCTGTTATAAATTCAATTAATGCAGCTATCCAGTTCACTTTTGAAACTGAATCTGACAATACAGTTCCCTTCCTTGTTATTCTTATAATCCACAATGGATCTGCTTTCAGCACTACTGTTTACCATAAAACCTTTTCTGTTTGCTTGTCTCCCAATGCCATGTTCTGTCATCTGTCTAAGAAAAAAATGCCTCCTTTTACTATTTCCTATTTCGTGTTCTCAGTTTGCTCCTCAGAAACTTCACTCGCTAAAGAAAATTTTTTGAGGTCAATTTCCACTGTTTATGGGAAGTCTTTTTTTGATGATTTTCTCTCTTATTTATTGATAAAGCCTTTAAAAAATATTAATCTTGCCATCAAAGAAGACACTCTGCATTAGAATTAATAACTTTATCCTGCTTGCAAAATTGTACGGTTTCATCAAAAATTCTATTTTCATGCAAAGATTCCATTTCTGACTTTAATTCTTGGGGAATTTATATGTATCTTGTCAATTTAGTTTGAGATATATCAGTCTAACTAAAAGAGCATTAAACTTCTGCATCAAGGAACGCAAATCTTATGCTTGAAAAAGTGAAATTATCAAGTCTTCAATAGCTTAATCATAGGTGGAAATTTAATCACAATTTTGATTTTGAGTAAAAATTATCTGAAAAGCTTTTTCCATTGGCGAATGGGATTTTCTTGAAGCTTATCACATTCATGTAGATTTATCTTAATTAATTATTTTTAATTCTCATCCAGTCCTTCCTAATGCTTTTAAAATTTTATTAATTTTTCAATTTTAATTACTATTAAAATTAATTACTATAATTTTAATTACTATTAATTACTATTTATTAATTACTATTACTATTTTAATTACTATAACTTTTAATTACTATTAAATTACTATTTCTGCCAACAGACTTTCTTATTTACTTTGCTCCTTTTGGGTTTAAATACAACCATGGCTTTCCCTTTGTTACAGATTTCTTCCCTCCTGTTGAAGAGGGACTTTTTTTGTCCTTGAAATCGACAGAATTTTGACTAAAATCTATGCCAAACATAAAGTTATTGCTCTGCCTAATTTTATATTTTATTTTGTTCCTGTTCTGTCTTGACATGGACAATGTTTTTAGGTTAATATTTCTGCACTCTCACACTTTCTAATATTGTTGCATTGTAAATGGTATTTTAAAAGCATAGAATAATGGGTGAAAGATAAATAATATCTGTTGGAAGTTAAAAATCATGAGAGATACGTGACTTGCTTTTGTGTATATTTTTCAAACCTGTTTATAATTTTGTAGAGCTATCGATAAAAAATGCATATAAGCTCATATTGATGATTATATATATATTAATAAAGTTTGATTTTTATGTGATTTTCATGCCAAAAATAAGTAAATTTATGTATAATGATTTTACGTTATATTTCTTTATCATTCTCATTCAGATTAATGTATTCTAAATATACATGGTAAAGGCAAATAGTAGTAGATGAAAAATAAAACACAATCAATTCCTAATTGACAAAAGGGATTAACCTGGTGACAGATTAGCCAGAACTTGCCTGAGAACAAAGATTAGTTTGTTTATTATAAGAATGGCAGAGAAATTCTATCACAGACCTTCAACATAAAGCAAAACTGTTTATGGGAAGTAAGAAAAAAGGGAAAGAACAGTAGATATACAGTAGAACAGTAGATGTGAGATAACGGCCGAGATAGCAGATGATATCACTGTATTTTGGGAGTTGTTTTAGTCTAGAATATTTACTTATCTACAAATGCCTGGTTTTTAGCACTTAAGCTATGCTTGCTTAAGCACCTTCCTTGCCATTACTTTTGGATGACAGAATTAAGACTATTAAGTGCAGATCATGTGTTTAAATGTTCTTTGTCCAACATTACAGTGAGAGAACACATTAGGAAATTTCTGAGTCTAATGTAAAAGAGACGAACACTAAGATAATTATGTCCAGCAAAAAGATGAAATGGTGGCTCCGCTGTAGAATGAACAGGGTCTGGGATATTATGTTTCTTAGTTCAGGAGATACTGCCAAGCCTTTCCCCTAGCTTTTATGTACCAATTTGAGTCGTGAATGTTGCTAATTTTGTATTTATCAATCTCCTAACAAAATAAAAGCTCGTAAAATTTCTGGATTTTTGGAAGACAGTTGTTTCTTTCTTTGCCAGGGAATTTTTGCTCTCATTCCCATTACTCCATGGTAAGCCAGCATCCACTATAATGCTTCTAAGCTGGTAAGAGTACTTACTCAATGGTGTGTTGGTTTTCTTTATATGATTATGACTAAGCCGCAAGAGCTATCTGCCCAAGGGGACTATAGATTGAAACATATTTTGTTTTTATGAACAAGGATCTAAATTAACTGCTATCGCTGTTTTTTTTTTTTTTTTTAATTTGAGAGTTGTAGAATCATATTTGCAGTATACTATAGATTGAAACATATTTTGTTTTTATGAACAGGGATCTAAATTAACTGCTATCGCTGTATTCTTTTTATTAAAAAAATTTGAGAGTTGTAGAATCATATTTGCAGTAGGAGTCTGGTTCATTCTGGTCAAAAAAATTAATATCTGACGAAAGGAGAAAACAGTTGGATATGGTCAAAAAACAGTAATAGATATTAGAATACTCACTTGCAGGAAATTTGTACTCCTACCATTCTAAACAAAGCTTTTGGTAAAAATCATAGAACCTAACAAAATAATAGAAATTGATCAAATCATTTTTATCAAACACAAAAACGAAGCAAGTCAGATACTTCTGCAGCAGTGGCTAGTTGGTATATTGTACAGAGAGACTGACAGTAGTTTATGATAAGAATAGCAGACAGAAGTGTAGCTCAGAATTCTGTATGAATGACTGGTACCAACTCTGCTAACTTTCATAATTACATGGTCAAGTAAATAATATGGAAGTACCAAAACTATATATGATTATATTAAATTTAAGTTTTCCTTCTTGGTATAAAATTTTATGCATTTTTAGAGAAAATAAAATTTTGTTCTTTAAATTCTGATAAAAGTTTCTTCCTTCTCCCAGGGCTACAACATGCATCACACACTGCAGAAGTGGTCCGATCTGAGTTTCAGCAGTCACTGGGTAGCTTTATTCTGTTATATATTTTATTACCTAGTTTAATTTAACTTTTATAACACTGAACTGGATGTTGGTGATCAACTTGCTGTAATTCTGATCAAATTAAGTCTTCTGCAGGAACAAGAACAATCAAATGCCTATACAACCTGAAGATAATTTGGAACAAAAAATGTAAAATATAGGTTATAGTTCTAAGATTTTATGTAGTTAATTAGTAGTAACACTCATTTGTTAATTTTAGTAGCCAAAAACAGTCATTCATTTTTAGATTTAAATAAGTGAAGCTTCAATTGAAAAATTTGAATCTTTAGGTTAGAATTCAAAGTTAGTGAAATTGAGCTTTAAGACCAATATGTTATTTCTCTTACACCCTTTTCAAAGTATATTTCACCATCATGATCTGTTCTTAGGAAATATATTAAGGTATATTTTGTTGTTACATGAAGAGGATGAATTTTTATGTGAAATATTTACTTTTAATAAATTTTAATGCTTTTTTAATGTGTGTTTCATTGAATAATTCTTATATATTTTTACTTAAAAATATCCAAATTTAAAAGAATAAACTAATAAACTCTATGTCAGAGTAACTATATTTAAAATCTATGTAGAAATATAGCTAGCTAGCTATACTTTTTTTTTTTTTTTCTGAAGTTTTTTTAGTAGAATTTATGTTACATTCAGACATGCATTTTATACTTTCTATTATACTTTTCTTTTTGAAAGATTCTGGAAATGTTATTTCACATGTAAAATCTGCAGCAAATGAATTTAGCTATTAGAAGGCATTAGTGAGCCCTTTATGGGAGAAAGATATGAAGTGATATCCCCTTACAAAGCATAATTCATATTGCAGTTCAAATGAAGTTAAAGTATCTTTTCCAGCAGTGTTATGCCACATTTTGAGCAAAACAGTATATTTTCAGAGTACTGAAGATATCCCAAATGATGAGACAAGTCTATAACAGATACCAAAAATGCATTCTATTAGTGCTTCCAAGAAATAAGAAAGTATTGTGTATGCTTAAATGGATGTTATGTCGAAGGTTACTAGATGATTTTTTTTTTTTTTTTTTTTTACTTTTCAAGAAAAAATGCTTGACAAACATTTCCTGTGAATTTTTTAACATAAGAGTATATCATATTGATATATAGTAACTGAGGCAAGTATAAAAATAGCATTTTAATAAAAGTGTACAAAATCTGTTTAACAATACACTGAAAACATAAGAATAATATTTACAGTTGTAGCTTTTGAATTCTTTTGTGTGCTCAGTATTTAAGATTTCAGTATTCCTTTTATCCAGGGTAAGTAGTTTGGTATCCTGGTATAAAAACCATACTTGTTAGCTTTTCCACAGCCTTCTCCCCAACTGACAACACCTATCAAATACCATCTGGCTTGGTAATTCATAACAAATGGCCCTCCACTGTCTCCATGACAAGCATCTCCTACTATTTCCTGAGCATAGCCTGCACAAAACATATTGCGACTTACCTAAAATGAAAAAGGCACATTTTAAACACATTTTTGAACATTTCTGTAGGGGGAAAAAAAAAAAAAAAAAAAAAAAAAACAATTTTTTGTCTATCATAAACTAATCATACATTAGAACTTTTTACAACTCTTTTTTTTTCATTTAATAATTTGACATTTAAATTTCTATTGCAGAAAAAGATCTCTCATGAATAAATCAGGCTGAAACAAGGTTCATGTAACTGCTATCAAAAATTAATGTTGGGCATACAAATGATTCTTCATATCTTTCAACTTGTGCAAAATTATTTAATAAGAAAATGATTCTCAGATAAAAACTGATACCGATATTCTATAATATCAGATTTATAAATTGGGCCCTCTCTCAACTTAAGGTTCCTTATTTTAAGGCATGAGTTATGTTTGCTAGTTAAAAAAATTATTTAATGATATCTGGAATTCTCATGATTTCAACTTGCACAGCCCAATAAATCTACCTGTGTCTCTCTGTCCAAGATTCAGGTTTTGATCACAGTACAATGTCTTGATGCATTCAATATCTAAATATATGCTATAAATGATTAAATGATTCTTTGGGAGCTGGGGGATAGTGTACAATTTTACAATACTTTTTCTTGTTTTGGAAAACACTTTATTAAATTATTAGTTTCTAAACATTAACCCATAAAATAAATGTCTGATGCATAACACTTTTTCATGAAACTACAAAATTTACTAAAATCTTGTTCTCTTACATTTAGAAAATAAAGTCAGCAATGAGATGGATTTATTCCCTTATCATAAAAACATTTATTTATTAATAGCAAAGTATGAGATAAGCTTTAAAATGAGTAGTTTTCTGATATAGAAATATACTACCTTGGCCCAAATCTAAGAAAGCTTTTATTCCTCTTAAAATTTAGAATATTTAAGTATTTTTATAGTGCTCGAAAATTGAATTTATTGCTCTCCTTAAGGAATCAGTTAAAAACAAGTTAGTATAAATTAAGGTTCTTTTGATTTCCATGTAAGGCCATTCAATGATATTCCTTTTTGATTTACTTATGTGTAAAATTTTTTTGATTTACAATTTTTAGTGGGTTATGGAACAAAATCTTATTCTCTTACATTAGAACAAAACACTGAATGGACCACTAATTTTATTGGTACTTTAACTGTTGAGAAGTATACATAAATAAAATTCAGAATATTGAATAGATCATCATGTGACTTCTGATAAGATTTCACAACTGTGTAGTTTCCACATGATAGCATTCCACCACATAAATTAATAGAGCCTCAGAATATTTTAAGGAATACATTAGGAACTAATGTACAGCCAATCATGATTGGATATATCTGTCATGATCATATGACTTAAACATACTAATTTTTTCCCTGGGGATTTTTAGAAAGGACGTTTACAAAAGGGAATTAATAAGTCATATAGACCTGTTCAATCATATAGAAGTTACAAGTGCAAATGTAACACAATTATACTAAGAGTCCAAGAGCGTTTTATTTTATGGGCACAATTATGTGTAACAGCTGATGGCAGATGTTTTGAGCAATATTACTCTAAAATAGAGAAACCTTTGTTTCACCTAAGAATTTCTCATTTTATTTTATTTATTTATTTATTTATTTTTTTTTTTTTTAGGGTAAAAGATTTCTTTTTTCTTGATATTAATATAAATTGTTCTCCTTATTTTCAGAATTTTTTATTTATTTTATATTTTTTTATTGTGCATGACCAAATTTAGAATAGTGTAAAATAATCTTTTTTTAATATCTAAACTTATAGTCACTAAGAGAGTTTTTACCTCTTTTCTGAAATACAATATTTGATTATTTATAATTAAAAAATATCATTTAATTTTTTTTCCTATTAAAAAATATTCAGACTTTTTTTTTTTTTGTGTGTGTGTGTGTGTGTGTGTGTTATGGACTCTACTGTTTGCAATATGTGCTAAAAAATTAAATCTGTTTAAAAATTGTCTTAGAACTTGTCATAACAGTCTGCATATCAGTGCTCACTACTTAAAATCATTTACATCAAATACCTTTTTCTCTACTTTAATGTTTTATTTTGAGTTCCATACAAATTTAACTATTGCTCTCTGCAATTTATAAACAACTCCTCAGTTTTCAGAAAAAATTATTTGAAACATTCAAAATATCTAGTCAACTTTTGTCATATGTGAGTTGTACTTTGTATCATGAAAATACCTTTATCCAGTATATAAGGACTGGGAAAATGTTTAAAAAGTTCAAAGTCTGTGATACAGGTCTTTTTTTTTTTGGTAATTAACATTAAAAATTGCAGGGTTATGTTATATGTAGGGCTATCAACCATAATGATCTGGTTACAGGATTAGTTTTGGCTAATATAAAGTGTAACAAGTTCCTTTATGCTTGGAAAGGATAGTAAAAGCACTTTTTATGCTATCAAACTGAAAAACATTCTCTTTTAAAAATAATGTATTTAAAATGTTATAATTGCTTTTGAATATCTTAGTAATCATCTGAAAAGTAATGCTAAATATTAAATTTTCAGTAATTTTCTGTTATACATCTGCTATACTTTTTGGGGTTTGGGAAAGAGAAGAAGAGAAGCCAAACTACGACAAGACTTGATGATAGCATCTTCTTGGCTATAGATATGCGTGTATCTATAAACTATTCTTATAACCAGAAATTGTTAACAATTAAAAAAGCTGGCCAAAATGCATGGCAGGTGCGTAATGGAGAATTACCAAATTTTCTTACTGTGTAATTTGTAGATGCCATGCATGTCTTTTGATCAACTATTGGTAGGCGGATCTCTTGTAAGAAACGTGGAGAGAGTCCATGCTGCTTTAGTTTTCCCCATCCAGTGACTGTACCCATTCTAACTTGGGAGGTATCCCCATCTCCTGTTAGTAATCTCTCACCTAGCTCTTTGTTGCTGAGACAAATTGGCAGAATATAATCAGTGAATTGGACATGATCTCTCAAACGAACCAGCGCGAGATCATTATCAAAAGTCAATTTGTCATATGCTGGATGCACAACAATGGAGGATGGGTCTGCAATACTTGTCCTGAACTCTTCCTGCTCTTCATATTCACGGTCATGTTTGCCAATCTTAATGACAATTCTGTCCCATCGTAATCCTCTGTAATTTACAAAGCAGTGTGCTGCAGTTGCGATCCATCTTTCATTCAACAAGGATCCTCCACAGAATGATTCTAAATTTGGTTCCCATAGCATGACCTGAAATAAAATATCAATGAATTATTTTACCAATACAGAACCCAGACATTTAATTTAGGGCTTATATATTAAAGAAGAACTATTAGAAGAAGACTAGTTAATCTCCGTTTTGAACATTATGGACTTAAAGATAGCATAAAATAAAGGAATATTAGCCATTAACAGTTCTATGTTTATTTATGATATTAATTTCAAGAATATTTTATTTTCCACCGATAAGATGTTTAAAACATTGTGGCAAATACAAATAATGCAATAACAGAATATAGGTTCCTCATCATATAGAAAGGTACTGAATAATCATATAGAAAGACACTGAATAGTGTAGTATGCAAGGTTCTAATAATGGAAGTGATCCATATGAGTAAGTGTTTGAAAACAGATGCCGTCATGAAAAATGTAAAAGTTTTTAAGTATCTAAAAATTTCTCAAATTTTAAATCTAAATCAAGATTTGCTTTCAGTTTCAGTACAGATGAAATTTAATAAAAAGCCCACATAATTTAAGGTATTTTCATCATAGATTTAAAACTGCATCAATAATTGTGTTTTACAATTTTTGTGCATAATTAAAATTTTTATATAGGTATTGTTACTTATTTTAGAAATACCTTAAATATCTTTCCAATCAAAAATTTAAGTGCATTTTCTGAACTCATTATTTTTATTTACAGAATATTTAAAAAATACAAAATTCTTTAAACGAGATTGCATTTTGCACATTTAGATGTAAACCTGATTAGGATTTAAGAAACAAATCAAACAAGGTAAGCTTTTGGGTACTAATAGTAAGTATATGAAAACTTTAAATTTTCTCATGTGCTTTCTGCTGAGAAGTGAAGAGAAAATCTCAAAATGTTCTAATGCTTAATTTTGAATCATTGCTATTATGTAATATAAAAATGAAACATTTGTAATTATTTGGTCTTAATCTGTTTTCTGAGATGAAAACCAACTGAGAAAAACTTCTATGTTTTTTTAAAGCTAAAATATTGAAATTCATTTTCTAAAAAATTGAATTTTAGCATTTCTGCATATGTTAATTTGCAGTTTAAGCATAAACTTTTATGCTTATCTGATGTGAAATTATCTTATAGAAATTTGAATTTGAAACTCTGTTTGCATAAATGTTTTTAGCGATATTTATGTATGGTTTCCACACAATCTAATAAATAGTATCTTTGTAAGTTTAATTATATAAAAAATTTATCTATTTTATCTTGTATAGGAAGAAAAAAACCTTCTGACTGCCATTTTCCCCCTTCTTTTCCTATGAGGCTTGCATTAAAATTGAAATTTTAAATATGTTGTACTCCAAATACCTTATGGGATTAATCTTTTGAATTAGAACCATAGCTCCATGATCAACTGTTTAAGAAATATTCAATTATGCTAGCTTTTTTAAAGCATCTGTATATCTTATTGTTCCAAAATATTTCAAATCAGACAAAGAAAACACAAATGCATAAATCTAATCCTCTATAAAGCTCTCTTACCTGCCACGGATAAGCACCTTTCTTTGTATTATGACCACCTATAATCTTCCCATGTTGCGTCAGTGGTACATCATTAGATGGTTGACCAACTTTAGGTTTCCCACAAACTGAAATGAAATTGATAAATTAGTTCTGTAAAAATCATTTGAGAAAGAAACAAAAGATGTATGTATTTCATTGAAAAATCTATTGCATTTTTTTAAAATTCATAGTACAAAATTTAAAATTGAGATATAATTTAAACTATATTAAATATTAGAGTATATACTCCAAATATCCAGGGGAATGACTACCGGCATGCATGTTCCTTACTGAAATGCAAAATCATTTAGCTCATGAAGTAATAACTTTTTCAAAATATTAGCAAAATGTGCATTCTTATCTCTCTTCTTTTTATGTATAATTTCTTCATGTAATGTAATTTTGCATTTTTAATAAGTAAAAATGAAGTATAAATTTTAAGACATATTAAATTTCAGCCATGTGTATGGTTATTCAAGTTTAAATATTTCCTGCCACTGGCCTAGCACATCCCAGTTTTGAAATATAATGCAGATTATGCATTCTAGTACCTGAAAAATGCTGAGCTGGGAAAGGGTAAGAGGAAATCCTGGTTATTTTATACCTCATTTGAGTCAAGTGACTTCATTGCTGTTACCTTTTCAACAGACTTCAGAAATAAATAAAACTTAGACAATCCTACATATTGTCATTTGCCATTTTTTTACAGTCATTAAATATATAAAAATTTATTTAGAAGCTATCAATATTATAACCAATATAAAAGAAAGTAAAACTAAACTCAGTGGTGCAACAGCCCTAGTGGGCCATTGCTAGCAGTGCCCCGATATATGCTTTCCTGACCCTGGGCCCTGGATTGCTTGAGCATATACCCTCAACTAGTGGGTCAGCTTGTCACAGAACCCGGTGTTTAGTCCTCAAACGAACTTGGTATTAATTTTGTCGACCCACTGGAAGGTTAAGTCAACTTTGCTCAGTCCTGGGATGGAACCTCGAGCCTGTGGAGCTTCTGCACAATGTGCTAGCCACAGCCCCTTCCCCCCAAGTAAAAACCTATATGATTAGTTGTTGAATAAATTCGAATTTAAGTATTCCAGTTCTATTTTTTATGTGATACGTAATTCTTTTTAGAGTCATTCTAACTTCATTTAAGGAATAACAACAATCAACTGAATTTATAATAGAATTAATAGTAATTAATTCAAATTTGGTTGTTGGTACTACTTCTAGATGTGAGACGCAAAAATTAATTAATACTTACTTTCCTCAATATTTGCTCTCTTACTCACTTGAAGAAATGCAGATGCTCGTTTCTGGCAGTTAGCTGCTTCATCAAAGGCTACACATGTATAAATTCCTGTATCCGCAAGTGTCACTTTGTCCAGGAATAGAAATCCGTTCTTTAGAAGAGTCATGTGTTCTTTTCTTTCGAGTGGCTCTCCATTTCTTTCCCATGATAATTGCACATGTGTTCCTGCTGCTAGGCATTCTAGATGTGCAAACTCGCCCTCCGCAAATGAAGAATCCTTAGGAATTTTTCGAAATACTACAGAAAGAAAAAGGGGAGCTACTTTATTCATTAAGAGTTAGCATTTTGAAGTTTCAAGTGCTGTTCATGTTTTCGAATGATGTATCAAATTTCTACTACATATGTAATGCATTATATATTTATTTTTCATTGTATTTGATGAGTCGTATGCATTTTGTTTAATTACAAATCACTACTTGCACATCTTGCATTTAAAAATCAGCAATCAACCAGTTTGTTAATATTATTAGAAATGACTGCTGTGTTTTTTTTCCCTTTAAAATGTGAAAAATGTGCTATTTTGTCAGTTAGTTCTTTTTTATATCTAAAAAATATCAGAATAGATGAGTATAATGATGCAGTTACCAAAAAAAAAAAAAAAAAAAAAAAAAAAAAAAAAAAAAAAAAAAATGAATATTCTGTTTATTACTATGAAAACTACTGTCTCAATTGCTTGTTTTTAATTAGATCAAATGTTGCATATACATTTAATTAGAAAATGCTACACATATATTTTCTTGTTTGAAAACATTCAAAATACTTTTAACTATTGAATAGCTTTAACAACAAGGCAATAAGTGCATTTTAATGTTGTCTAAAATTATAGATGGAAGTTCGCCATAAACTGTAATTCTCTCATCTTATTATCATGTTCAGAGTTGGAAGAACTTTCTTTAGAAAGCAGGAATAATAGCAATATCTGAAAACATCTGCAAATATACTTCAAATATTTTATAAACACTTTGCCAAACCACAAATTTAAAGAATTTGTTGTTTTCAAATTACTTTCTTTTAATAATTATGTAAATCCTGAGTCACATGGCCAAATTAAGTGCTGATATTAATGTCCATTTGTGTTGTAAACATTACACGTTGAGCAAAACAATGATTTCAAACCTGAAGCAACAGTCATAAAGTTTGCACTAACCCATGCTGTAGAAATAAAAGCAGATAAAATCATTGTTCATTTCGACGTTAAGCATGGATTCAAGAAATTTCTAATTTTAAACATTTGTTTCCGCCAATGTAAGAAATGTGTGATTTTCCTACAATTCGCTAAAGAACTCCAAATCAATATCTCTGGATACGCGCACATGCAAGCCACGATGGGAATTAACAAGCAGACCACCTTGTAAGAGAAGCAGCATTAGACTCTACACACAACATATCGACATAAAAAATGGATAATATATCAAATTTTAGACACATTTAACAGCAATGCAGTGTTGCAAACTAGCAACAAGAATGAAATCGAACAGATCAAGGATGCAGGATATATATGTTCTATCTCTCAGTCAACTCAAAAGGTATATCCAATAATTCTTTACTCTGTGCTTTTTTCACACTTTATTATTCATGGAAATATAACATCTAACAATCAATGTGGAAAAGTAGCATGCCAGATCATTATGTTTTTGATTAAAATTTAATATACATTGCTTGAGGGAATTATATTGCAGCATATGAAAAATATATGCTCAATGTAACTTTCCTCTATTTTAAAAAAAACATAAAAATTCATGACAAAACTTACAACTGTGGATCTAAAGACCTGTGCTAGGCATAATATGTAAAATTTGCATGTAGCTCACTACTGTAGTAACATGCATATTCTAAGATATAGTACACCATATAATTAATTATATTAAAAAAATCAAGAACTTAAACACTTCAAGCAGACACTGTGGCATGCTTCAAATTCCTAGGGATATATAACAATAATAGAAAATAAAAGGGACAGATATACGTATATCTCCCTTTCTACTGGGCCGATTGACGAAATTCAAATTGCGTTTTTCATGTCTCGAAAGCGCGACTTAGGATATATATTAGATTTATATATAGCATTGTTCTAACATAGGTATTTTGACATAAAATGGAATTTTGTCTGAAATAACATACCGACTTTTTCCATATTTCGATTCTATGATTCAAATTATGCCTAAATATTAAATTTTGTAAAATTTGTTGCGAAATTTACGGAGAAATTCACAAATTTATCTTGGCGTATTTTTTTCAGTTGCGCAAGAATAATTAACTTGGCGAACTTCTTAATATAAGGCAACCAATTTTCCTTCCCCTTCCATTGTGCAGGAACGGGAAAAAGTGACATCGTTCCTACCTTTTTACATTGTCCATGAGCGGAAAAAAGTCGCATCGTTCCTCCTTTCAAATAATATTAACAAAGTGCTTAAACCATATTTGATGTTATTATCGCTTTCAACAAATATGCCAAATTTCAAAACGCGCCAATATAAAAATTCACGTATATCTTCGGAAATTTTGAATAAAAATATTAATTGTTTGCAGGTAAAAATACATCTACTTTACGATGATGGTAAAAATTTTATAGATTATGACTAAAAAAATTTTTCGAAAAATTTATAAAAATTATTTAAAAGTACAAATTTAAAAAATAAATCATAAAAAAATGGGCGAATAGTATTTGCAACGAACCTAAATTTCGAAATGTGAAAGGAAGAATCAAATAACTTTAATAAAAAAAGAGATATTAATAAATACATACTAAACTCAATTAACATTGAAAAGCTAAAATTTCGAAATCTAATTTTTTAAAAAATTATTCGCGTGATTTTTGCGAAACTTGCAGTTTGGCGTAATTTGAGTCGTAGAATCGAAATATGGAAAAAAATCTGCATGTCATTTCAGAAAAAGTCCCAATTTGTGTCAAAAATACCTATGTAAGAACAATGCTATATGTAAATATAATATATATCCTAAGTCGCGCTTTCGAGACATGAAAAGCGCAATTTGAATTTCGTCAATCGGCCCAGTGGAACAGGAGATATAGAACTATCCCATTTTTTTTCGCAGTGTATATTAATTGCTCGAGACATATATCAGAAATTTTGCAATATTGTCAAAATAGACAAGAGCAAACAATGCTCCACTCTCTAATTGTGCATCGAATGATGTTCTGTATGACGACATAATTCGAATAGTTAGGTTAGATTACTGAAAAATGGCAAAGCATGAGAGGGCTCTCTGCCTAAGGTTATAGATGCCTTGGTGAAGGACTTTTAAGAGAAGTGGTTCGAAATCATGTTACAAAATCTCAAAAACCAACCATACAACTAGCCTATTCTCTTGCGATTGCAAACTTTATTTTCACGAATTTGTTGTTTCCTTATAAGGTGTCCTGAAATGCATTTATCCTTTCACCCATAATGCAGCAGTATGATAGGATTTGGTTCTGAAAACTATCAATAATTCCCAGTGCCATACTAAATTTTTCATTATCTTGCAATTTATGCTTTGCAATACCTTTATGGAATACAGTAATGCTACAGGACTTTACCTGTATCACTAAAGTTAAAGTCTTGGCATAAGATGTTTCGATGTCGGTTTAAAGCGAACCTAACAGTTCTGTTATATATGGAGTCACGTATATTAGCAGCTATATCGCCAGTCATTCACGTCTAGAATATGATTGCTTGTACTCGAAACTATTACTGATGCATGTTGAATCCGCACGGGAATGAAATGTCAACGCAAAATATATACCGCTAAATAACTATGCGTTTAAAATATCCATGCCTTCTCAGGGATATGAATGTGGGCCTAACGATATGGCAGTCGGCGCAATGCGAAATAGAATGGCATAGAAAATGTAGGTGGTGATGTAGAAAAAATAGCATATGGTTGAAGAAATCAGTTTAATTCTAAAAATAAAAGTATTTATAAAGATTTTGTTACATATTATTCATATGTAATATATTATTTAAAATAAAATTTTACATAAAATAATATTTATTATATTTAAAAATTTAATAAATGTTGTTAGTTCTATAACTCAATACATCTACTGCATTCAACTGTTTCTCATGCGGACCAAAAAAATTAATAACAGAAATGTCTTGATCTACGACATATTTTATTTCTCCTGAAAAGTTATCATAAAAGTAGAAATAATTTACCTACATTTAGGTAAGAAAATAATCTTATAGATGGCTATCTTGAAACCATTTATAAATATTATTAATATTAAAAATCACTTTCGCAAATGGCACTTACCTATTTCACACGTTGAGTTACTGCTACTTGATTCATTTTCAAGGCGCACATATACATGCACAGAAATGGTGTCGTCAGGGGAAACAGCAACGCATGTATACATGCCACTCAAATGCTGATCCATTCTTTGTATCCAGAGGGTACCATTAGAAAGCATCTTTAGGCCTGGCAATGGATTTCCACCAGCAAGAAAATGATCACCTTTCAGCCTAAAAATTACACCATAATAAATCACTATTTTTGTTAAAAGTATACAGCTTTAAGTATAAAATTATTTAAAAAAAAAAAAAAAAAAAAGTTATTTATCTGAGCTACCTTTTTTGTAACAGAGGGTAATTAAAAAGAATGAAAGGTTATTTGTTATCTATGTGCAGGAAAAATAACGAAATTTTATTTAAGTACTACGGAATTTTCGCATTTCTCTGTGCGCATTCTCTTGGTGCATGTGGTAGCATGTCCAACTAGTAACTGCAAGATCGTATTTGGCTTAGTACCGTTCTGTCCTTTTCTGATTCATCCTCAGCTCCAAATAATGTCGATTTACCCACTGCACCCCCATCCATCCCTCTTTCCTTTTCATCTGCTCCTCGAAAAATCACTTTCTGTTACAGCAAGCGTCTGCATTCGTCAATTATAACGTTATAGACGAGGTGACTGTTAAACTTGCTTTCAAATGTTTTAGTTTTCAGTTTCTGACATTTATTAAATATTTCATAAAACAATTTAATCTAAGCGGAATAAGGAACTGAGGCATGCTCAAAATACATATATCTGAGGATCAGATATACGTATTTTGAACATGTTGAGGTTTTGTAATAAAGTGCTCATTTTTTTTAGTTTCATTTCTTTTTAAAGCAATATAAATATAGTTCCATTGCTGTGAAAGAAAATAAAAGTCTAATAAATGAATGATTAAAGCCAATGCACATGTTTTATAAAAAGCATAATCTCTTTAATCGCTTAAATGCAACCATCCAAGGTTTTAAATGTTTTCTGAGTTTTGTGGATGTGATAGTCTTATAGAGGTGATACTTAGTACAAATGTTTATGTGCTCAAAAATACTGATGTCCTTTAGAAGTGTCACCACCAGAGGGTTCAGTAGAATTGTTTTCTAGTAGGTAATACACTGACTACCAATAAGTATTTGGACACCTGTGATAAAAAAGAAAAACTAACTTTATTGAAAATCAATAGTTGGTAGAGCCTCCACGAGAGGTAATTACAGCGTGGACCCTTTGGGGCATACTTTCCACAAGTCTTTGTATGACAGCTAGTGGTATTTTCTTCCACTCGGCTTGGAGAAGACATAGAAGTTCCCTTCACCGATTTTGCACGGGTATTGCACCCTGAATTCGGCGATGCAACTCGTCCCAGAGGTTCTCGATAGGGTTCAGGTCTGGACTCTGGGCAGGCCAGTCCATTCGATGAAACTCCATTGGCACCATACCAAGCCTTGGTTAACGTAGAAACATGACAACTGGCATTGTCGTCCTGAAAGTAACAGGGGTCCCAACCCGTAAAAACTGCCACAACGTAGGAAGCACATTGTCATCCAAAATAGTGCAGTAGGCATCGGAGTTGAGCTTACCATGAATGGGGACCAAGGGTCCCAGCCCATACCAGGAGAAACACCCCCAGACCATAATTCCACCACCTCCGCCGAACTTGACTGTTGGCACAATTGCATTCTGGCAGGAGACGTTCTCCAGGTAGACGCCTGACCCAGACCCTGCCATCCGAACGGTAAAGGATGAACCTTGATTCGTCACTCCAAAGAACCCGTTTTCCACTGATCTACGGTCCAATTTCGATGTGCTTTGCACCACATTAACCGAAGCAGCGCGGTTGGACTTTGTGATCAAAGGCTTATGGGCAGCATCACAACCATGAAAACCAAGCAGATGTGCTTCCTTACGGATGGTATTCATTGAAACAATACTCCCGGATGCCTGTTGAAACTCCTTCGCAGATGAGGGACATTCGGTTGGGTTGGTGCGGTTCTTCCGAATTTCTCTGGACAGCACTCGTCGGTCTCTATCTCCCAGTTTCGTTGGTCTGCCGACTCAGGGCACATTCCGACAATCAACGCTCACCTTCCACTTCTTAATCACATAAACCACTGTCGATTTTGGGTACTTCAGATCGCTAGATAAGTCCCTTAAGGATCGGCCACATTTGTGATACCCGATAATTATACCTTTCTCGAAATCAGAGAGCTCCGAACTGCGAGGCATCTTGCATGCTACTAAAGCCGATGCTGTTTCCTACACGATATATACCGGCGGAGTCCGTGAAATACCTTAGGACCGCAGATATCGTCATTTGCATAGGTGTCCAAATACTTATTGGTAGTCAGTGTAGAATTAATATAATCTATCAGTTAAAAGTGGCTGTTTATTCTAAGAGAGATAGATATAAGAGCAATGTACCTAAAATTTTTCTTGCACAATTAGCTGTTATATAAATTTGTTTTCTACAGGTACCCTCTTCCTAAGGCCAGGTTGTGGTACGTTTGTCCTGTGGCGTACACCTAGATGCTAATCAAATTTTCACCATATACTCTGCGGAAGTTCACATCGAAGGTTTCAGTGCTTTTTCGATTCAGACGGCATGCATTATTTCTTAGTTTTTTTAAGTGTAAGAAAGTATTTAATAGATCGACTACGCAGTTTGAAGTATTAAGTACGCTTTCGAAAATCTTACAGATCTTGATTAGAGAAGGAATGTTACACAGTATTTCAATACAAATTTATGGGATGAGTCGGGCACAATGCAGTATCTCGAAGTTTTAGCAGTTAACCGCTACATGTCAAATGATTAGATAACCTGACATTACACCCTCTATTTTTTCCCTATATTCGAAATGCAATTTTATCTTTGCATATTCGAAGTCTTTAATGATTAATTTATTTACAAGTAAAATCATACAAAGGTACTGAATATATCTGCGAAAGCATTTCTTTGATCAGATTTCTCATACAAATCCCAATAAATCACTTCATATGCCATAAATTACCTTGTTCAGTATGACTTCACTATGCTATTCATTATATTGTATTTATATTATAATGTTAAAAATACAAGTTCTGCTATATTTTTACTACAATGTATAATATACGTCTGTGGTTCTTAAATTGTGCACTTTGGCACGTTAGGGCACCAAGGGTGGTTTATTTGGCCGAGCATCGAAATATTTCAGTGCTTTTCGTAGACATTAAGCTTAGTGCACATAGTTTTAGAATTGGACCATCGATGTGCTGATGTTATGATAGAAAGTATACCTAACAAACACTATACAACCTATAGTTTTGGAAAGTACTTATCAGGTATATCAGCTGATTTGGAAATTACTTTCAAGGAGGTAACGGCAATAAGTTTGCAATGAGATTCAAAGCTCTTTCACAACCAAAGCTCCATCTGAATTAATTTCGGTACTCTTCTGTTATCAGGACGGGATTCAGAAATGTATGTATGTATGCACGTGTACGTGTGTGTATACACACGTATGTAGCCACATACGTACATAAACACGTCCATCTACCTACATGCATACATCATATATTTCTGAACCCGATCCCGATAACAGAAACCAGAAATAAAGGTATATAACCTTTATTTCTGGAGAGGAAAATGTTATTGAACTTTCTTTGAGACACTGCATCGAAGACTCAATTCGACAGCAGGGAAATAACTAAATTTTGGATATCATTAAAATATAGTATATAATTCATGTGTGATATCATATTTGAGAAAGCAAGATTTTCGGCAGTTCATGTGATAAAGCAACTATTGTGAAAAGAGATGAACGTGGAATAAAAGTTGAGATGATTATAATCAGGCTGATTCCAAGATTTCAAAAAATATGCGAAGTAAGAAGGCTCACCCTACCTACGAATTACGATTCATTTATTAAACGCTATGATTGTTCAAAATATGCATAAATTTAGTTTATTTTAAGCAAATTTCTGAATTTGAATTATGAGTTTCATTCATTTTTTTAAGTTTATAAGATATTTTCTCTTTCCTTTTTGCATGCCTTCCATGGTGTAGCTATGGTGCACTCAGCGCGTATTCGAGGTTTCCGGCGAGGGTATTGCTTATTTTTCATGTCTTCTGCTTCAAAATAACCTAATGACTCTACAATGGCGCCCGAACTAAAAGGTGGTGGATGATGAATCTTCACCACCAGGATTTGGCGATTGGGTTTCCTAATCCCCAGTCGCCCTTTAAAAGGGGAATATTTTCTCCCTCCTTTCCGCATGCTTTCGTGGTGTAACGGTAGCACACTCGGCGCGTATTTGAGAGTCTCAAGTTCGAGTCCCGGCGAGGGCATTGCTCATTTTTCATATCTCCTGCTTTAAAAAATCCTATTGTTTAACTCTACAAGTTTAACTAACATAACCATAGCAGATGCTTGTTACTAATTGTTTGGCAAGCCTATGTTTTGACTTCGATCCGCGGGGAGAACATTTTGATACATCAAGGGCGCTACGAAACGGAAGTTTTTGGGAACTACTGGTGCATGTACATCATCGAGTACGATACAGAATTAATAATGTGTGTAGCATTTTAAATTAAACAATACTCTCAAATATATTTGGGCACAGGTGTTACAAATACCTCTTATTCGCGATTATGAGTCTTAGGAGTATTTTTATACCTCTTAATAATATTAAGATTCCAAAAGATCTTGCCAAATTTTACTGAGATTCATCATTACATTTCTATTTCTATAAATGACTACTTACCACAACATAATAACTTACCACCGTATTCTTGCATTTAGATCACGTGCACTACAGTGCATCATGTGCGAGGATCCTTTTGATAATGTAGCATTCTGAGGAATATTCAGAAATGAATTCTTTACTGCAGTAGAGCCCCTTACATTTTCTGGACGTGCGTTTTCTGTATCTAGAATAAACAACGACTTGAGTTCAGAAAGGTCAAACTTTATATGAAATACTGCACTACAAATTACCATGATAACAAAAGAGAGAGGGGGAGAATTAGAACGTTTAAAAATTGCTTCTAACTATAATCTATATTTTCTCAAACTTGGGCGTTATTGGCCAGCGATGAGGCTGAGAATTGAGAAGGCGCTACTTGTCTGAAGGGCAGTAAAGGAGCAATGACAAAAATGTGGGCAATATGAAGATGCTTGCAAAATATGGCTGCTTAAACGCTTTTTAAGCGAGCAATTAAACATGCATTTTTCTGTAAAATTATTGTAGTTATGTATATTTTTAAGAATCCTATCATTCATGAAAGTTGATCTAATCTGCATATACTTTCATTATATACTACTTTACTATTCACTATTTTTATCAGTACTTTTTTTTTTTTTTTTTGGAGGGAGAAGAAGATTCAATCTATTTGAAAAGTATTCAGAAAATAATAGACTGTTTATTAAAATCTAAAACATGATTAAATTTGATGAATAACTATTACTTACCAGTCTCATTTTTGAGGAATTGGTATCTAATTTTAAAACCTGAGAACTCTGCAAAATCATCAGAACGGAAAATGAGCTCCACTTCGTTACCTCTAGTAGTCAAATTTTTAGGTTCATTCCCTCTTCCACAGTACCTTCCAATGGTGCTAGAATCTTGCAGTGATGAAATAAGACCTGTTAGTTACATTTTAAAAACAATAAAGTTCTTATGTCCATGCAATTTATTTTAACGTTATCTAAATATCGCTTTACTTTGAGTCTCTATTATATTTATGCTCTCATCTTGTATATAATATACTTATCTGACTAATTAAAGAATGCATGTGTGTTCTTTTGTAGAGGACAAATTTATATGTATTGCCTTTGCGGTATTTTTTCCAATATACGAACACGAACGAGCTGAAGTTTTTCTTTTTCTCCAAATTGATCTTTTTTACTTCCTTGTTTTTAATGGGGACCATTGATGTTTACATTTGAAACAGGAGGCTAGTGGACTTGTTGCCAATCTAGGGAAACTTAGCTTCGCAACAACAAAGATAACGCATTCATTTATTATTGCCAATTAAATCATGCTTAATTCTTTCTGGAATTTTTTCGAGGAAATAAGTGTTTAAGATTTACTTCGTAATTTTTAATATAGATATTTTGAGTTTTTATGTATTTTTGCCTTCTCGCGAAGTGCTAACTGAATTAATTAAATGAGAAATATTCAATCGTCTGTGAAAAACTGTTTCTTTTTTGTTTTGTTTGCTTAATTTCTTTTATACATCATTCTAGCTTTATTATAGTATTTGAATAGAATATGTGGCAACGATTAGATAATTCTATTCTTTAAATGATATAAATTTTGTGCATTATGAGTTATAATATGAACGAAATATATAAGTTAACTGTTATATAATTATTAATACTGTTAAGTGAATCTAGCGCCAGAGTGTCGCTATGGTAAACAAATACTAAAGTGAATTTTAAAGAATGCATTTATTCTATTGTGGTTTATGCGCTGTCGGCGAAGTAGATTTAATTCAATCCAATAAGATTAAAATGAAATGCAGGAAAAAATGCGTATAATTTAATATTCCAATTTAATATTCCAATACAAGGAAGTTATGTGGTGTACACATCAGATTTTTTAAGATTAACTTTAAAGTGTTCGAAAACAATTTTATCTAACTTTGTTGGGCAGTATGATGTCCAAGAATCTAATTAGTTGAGACATTTAACACTGTTTTTGTACTATTTTAAACCCCTAAAATATATAGTCTACATCTCAGAATTCTGAGGTAAGAGAATCAAAATGATTTAAACAATATATCCCTTTAAGCATTTTTTTCCTATGCATGATGAGTAAATTGCATCCCTATCGAAATCCGTCAGTTAAAAAATATATTTAATTTTGAGACATTTTCGCAATTTAATGCTCAGGATAGTAGAATTTCTTTTCCTTAAAAAATGGTTGCAGCTTCTTCTGCAGATAATAGTAAATCTCAAATATTCATACTTCACTTAAGTCACCAATGATTTTACAATTAGAAATGCTTGTTGAATTTCATTTGATAAATTAAAAAAAAATTGGATCCATAACTTGAATTTAAGAGCAGTTTAATGCACAGTATGGTTACTTGCAATATAAAATTAAAATTATTGCTTATGTTCTATAAAAAGTTCGCAACTTTTTATCTCTCTCCAATATGGTAATAGCAAATGTATAAATCTTCATTTAACATTTTGTGTCTAGCTTTTCAACAAGTACCTAAGCACGTTTAACTGGACTTTATTTTGCTGCGCATTCATTTTAGTTAACAAAACTATGGTGTAAGTTATAAAAACTGCGAAGACGCTTTGATAGTCAGTACGAAGACAGGAAGCTAATTAAGGAAACTATGGAAGAGGTAAAACTAAGGAAGTTTATTTATGTACAGTCAAACCTCATTAAGAAATTCTTTTCGGCCAGTAAAAAATGATTTATGATCTGGAGTTGTAAAAATAGTTTTTTGTGGGAAGCAAATAAAATAAATTATTAACACTGATTCTCATTAAGCATTAAAAATAACGTTTAAGGCATCTACGTTAAAGGGTAATGTAAAATAAGAATTGACTACCCTATCGGCATGGTGGTAGGTAAACTAACTGCTACAGCCTTAAGCTCGGGCTCGAATTCCGAACATGGCATAGATATTACTATGCTATCTTCGGATCTTAGTGTGTTTGGAGAATAAAAGCACTTAATCTTTTCGAGCTAAAAGTTTTTTCGAGAGATTGCTGGTAAGGGAGCGGAGGATAGGAGCTCCTTGGATCGGTCTACTGGGCTATTTGCATCAAAATTTGGATATTTTCCTTTTCTTACGGATGTAATTCGATCGCCCTCTGTGGTATCCTTGGTCAACGTTTTTGGTGGTGGTGGTGTTGTCTTGTCCATGTAATTCATGGAAGAATAGCTGCCAGAGTCTCAAGGAGGCTGGACTTCTACTTCCACCCTAATTTTGAGAGACAACACCCCGGAGGGGTTGGTCCGAAGTTCTCCTACCCCTCTCGCCTACCACCAAACCACACGAGAAGATTTTTGAACCGCCATACATTTACAGTGCCCTCTTGGCGCAAAGACACTATAAATTTACAAATATCCATGCCTTCTCCCGGATTCGAACCGGGCCCGCAGTAGGCTTCGCTAGGCTGTTCCGTAGTAACCCTTAGGTACCGCGTCATGCAGCAAAAACTCCAATGTCACGGCGAAAGCCAAGTTCCATAATTAAGTAAGGTTCGCTAACCGTCTGCTATACCGTCCGGGCAGCGTTTTTGCATATGAAAAGGCTAAATGACCGATGGGTTTCGACCACACCCGATAAATGATTTAATCTGAAACTGCCCTGTCATTTGAAGCAACTAGCAAAATAAGAAATTTTGAAACTAATTTTTCGCTTACGGTGCAGTTACGGTGTAATTATTCGTTTAGATCGATACAAACGTTTAATTTTATATATAATTTGATCTACATTTGATTTGTGACCTTCTGATGTTGTTTCCTTAACAGATAACATACACTATTTAATGATTACCAGAATTTCCATAACGCCTTTCGGAATTGAATTTTTTTTTTTTTTTTTTTTTTTTTTTTTTAAGAAAGTGTCTTGCGTCACTTTTAGAAGTTCCATTGTCCTTATTTCCTTTCCCAAACAACAACATACCGACCACTCCCGAAAAATCAAATGACTCTGGTAACATCTGAACATTTTTTATGCTTCAGGATCTAGCGATAGAATTACAATAGAAACTGTAGTAGAATTTGGAAACAAATGCGTAACCTTCCTACTTATGGAAATTGGTATCTAAAATTGTTTTACCTTTTGACTGACAGATTTACTGAATTGGTGGATTTTTAAAGATGATACAGAGAAAAGTAACCGTTGTCACAAAAATTTAGAATCATGAAGAAACCTGCTTTCTTTCTGAGAGTAAATAATTTTATTCGCATCATGAATTTAATGTAGCGTGACAGCAAAATGAGAACCTCGAAAGAGACTAAATCAGCAGTATTGATAACATCGAAATGAAATAGGAATTTATCGACACCAAAAGAATATGACCTATAATGAGCAGAGTGAGCTACTATCCGGTCACATGATAATGAAGTTTAACTGCATGAGGAAAATCAAATTCATTTATTTAATCTAATGATTTTTTTAAATAAAGAAACTTATAAATTTGAGTTTTTATATACTATGTCAGAAAAATGAATCAAAGCGAGAGCTATAAAATATTAACTGTTAACAATAAAACCCGACTTTTTTTAATAAGAAAGAGTATATTTCTTATTTGTTGCGAATTCATTATTTTGATATTATTACAAGTTTCATATATTACTTAAACTCTTAACTTACTTGATGGAGGACCTTCTTTGATTTGCAGATAATCATACGTACAATTTGCTTCCATTTCTAACTGCAGTGCATCAAAAATTAGAAGTATTGTCTCTCCCTGAGGAGCCTGCAGCCATATGCTACAATTAGAGAAACTTGGATAATTGGAAGGATAATTTGGACTAGCAATAGTGCCATTTCTTTCATCACTTTCCCATAAGCAGTCTGTGAAAATAAACTAAGTTAAGAATGCACTCCTAAAATATTTAAATGAATAAACTAAAAATAATTACTGAATATTTTTGGATTATGTAACGTTTACTGCATTCTAAAATTGCTAGAATGTTACGGGAAATTGAACAAGATGAAAATTTACGGCATCATTAACTTTCGATACATTTTATTTCTCAATTGACTTAAAAATATGAAACGGCATATTAAAATATAGACATAAGAATTCAGTATCTCGTATTGATTTCAGTTAGAAAAAACAGTATATGAATTTGTTTATTTCCTTTCAAAATGCTGTTAGCTTTTCCAATTAAACTTAAAGATAAACATGACAGATGCATTTTGCTAATTACACTGGTGAAATAAATTAAGCGCATTTGCATATTTTGTTGAATTGCGTGAAAAGAACTGAACTGAAAGAAAAACCACTACTTCTAGATAAAAATGCAAATCTTGTACGGCAAATACGTAAGCGTACATGTGTGTGTAGGCGGAGCCAGCAGAAAAACAGGCTTTATAAGCGTGAGGAGGGTAAGGTCTTACCCTCCTCACGCTTATAAAGCCTGGTTTTTTCACGCATTGCGTGAATGCTTGCCTGTACAATAGTTATTTTCCGAATATATGGAAGTCTGCTAAAATGATAGTGATCCCAAAGCCGTGAAAGAATCTGACAAAAACGGATGGGTACAGGCCCATTAGCCTGCTGCCCAGTATGGGAAAAAAACTTGAAAGAATTGTCCTTAGCAGAATTCAACCACCCTGGATAAATTACCACTTGAACAGTTTGGATTCAGGAAAGCCCTATCCACGACGAAGCAACTGGTTAGACTTAATGAGTTCATAAGTAGTGCACTGCACAACAAAAGATATGTTGCCTTACTCATGCTAGACGTGGCGAAGGCGTTCGACCGCGTCTGGCATGAGGGGCTTAATTTATAAATTAATCAGTTTGCAGTTCAGCAGCTGAGTTAATCAAAATTATTCACTCGTTTCTTTCCAAACAGGAACATTCAGTATTCACATTGATGATAGCACTTCAAGATAAGAAGCAAGTACAGGCCTGGGGTCCCTCAAGGATCTATTTTAGGGCCCGTGCTCTATTTATTCTACGTGGCAGATCTACCTGCAGAACATCTAGATCATAATTTTTTCATGGGCTGCTACGCAGACGACACAGCTTTTGCCGTCAAGTCTGGGTCGCCAAATTTTGCGATTAAGAAACTTCAAAAATTTATGCCGAAACTTGAAACCTGGTGCGCCAATTGGAAAATTGCAATTAATGCGGATAAATCTAAGCTTATGATTTTTAAACAGAATAAAATGAATCACCTATTAACTGCACAACTGTTGTTATTTGATACTGTTGTACCAGTTGTAAAAACTGCTACTTACTTAGGTTTAAAATATAGTGCTAATTTCCTTTGGAAAGAGCATATAAAATGTGTCAGAGGTAAGACTATTGGAGTAATTCAAAGTCTTAAGCCGCTCCTGTCTGCGACCTCCAAATTAGACATCAAGAGGAAGAGACATATTTATAACTCCATTATACGTCCTATTTTTGCGTACGCTTCTCCGGCCTGGGCAACAGTTCAGAAAAAGGAGTTGAACACGCTACAAATTATTCAAAATAAAGTACTTAGAATGATAACAAACGCTCACTATTATGTCTCGAATCAAACCCTGCACAATGATCTGAAAATGGAATCTGTAGAAACATATCTACACAAAGCAAATAATAAATTCTTCAACAAGGCACAAGAATGCAACCATATGACCGATTTAAATGTATTAGATTATGTAATTCTTGAAGAAGATGCTGCACTTAGACCGCTCGCGGCCCACCTCGCCAGGGACTTAAATTTTCCCACGTAAAATTATCATGATGGGAATGCACAGTGCCTGTATATATTGTATATAGTGTATTTTATTTTACTTCTCATTTATTATTTGTATGCTTAGTTTGTATGTTCTTTTCACTTGTTTTTATGTAATAATGTATGCTTATGTTTAATTGTTATGATATATATTAATTCAGATGTCATGATTGAATCTATTGGATTCTGTCTGTGTCTTCTTTTATGATACAACACAAACATATCATACAGATCCTCACGGCTCCTGCTTTGCAAATTTCTTGATGCGCGCGCCACTCTTTGGCTTTGCGACTCATGGTCGCCCCCTGTAACCACCTTTGACCTCCTAGAAACTTGTCATGAAAAATTCAAAGTCATGCGCCCTTCGGGCTTAATTTTCAAGAGCCGGATAAGTTGCGCAGCTGCGCGACTCTTTGGCAATAACCGTGCAGACTAGACTAGACTAGACTAGACGAATTGCGTTCGCTAGCACATCTTGACGAATTTCTTGGTGTTATCTTGCAGCAATCGGTTAAATTCACATCGGAACAGTAAAAATGAGTAACCACCAACGTTTAGATGATGGAAAGAGGTGGGGAGGCAGGCCAATCGCAAGTCCAGATATGCAAAGAGTTTAATTTAACGCGCAGCGTTGTATGTAACCTATGGCAAGAGCTCCAGGATACTGGATCCATCGAGAGAAAGCCTGGGCAATGTCGTCCAAGAGCCACGACGGCCAGAGAAGATGGCTATTTGTCCATTTTATGTAGGCGTAACAGAAAGGATACAGCTTCTAAGATCTCTCGGGACCTGTATGCAGCCACAGGAACCTGTGTAACAAGGGTGACTGTTTTCCAAAAAAACTGAATGACAGAAGTTGTTTGCCAGAAGACCGGCTATTTGCGTCCCGCTCACGTCTACGGACAGGCGAGTCCGATTAGCATGGTGCAGGCAGCATGGTGATTGGAGTACGGAGCAATGAGCGACCGTTTTGTTCACCGACGTGTCCCGTTTTAGCCTAAACACCGATTTTAGCCATACTTTCAAATGGAGAGAGCCAGGGACCTGCTACCTTCTCTCCAATTTCCGCGAAATGGCGGTGGCGGTGTAACAGTCGGGGGGGGGGCAGGCATCATGTTAGATGGCCGCACATCTCTCCACGTCTTTGACAGAAGCTCTGTGACTGGTTTAAGGTAAAGGTCTTGGTAGGGATGAGGTCTTGGAGCCCTATGTTTACCTTTTCCGGGATGCAATGCGCCTCGAGTTTATCTTACGAGACGATAATGCGAGGCCACACAGAGCTCGTCTGCTCGACGAATTTCTCGAGAGTGTGGATGGATTGGCCAGTCAGGTCTCCAGATCACAGCCCTATAGAGCATGTCTGGGACGCTCTGGGGAGGGCAATTGCAACTCACAACCCTCTTCCGAGAACTATCCAGGAACTGAAAACAGCCTTGCTGAATGAGTGGGACCAATTGCCACAGGCACTGATAAACTGCCTTATTTCCAGTATGACATCACGCTGCGAGGCCTGTATGGCTGTAAGAGGGGACCATACCCCCTATTAACCCATTTCTTTTGTGTCTTCTGCAACCGCTGTTTTAGACCTTCAGACTCCCATGAGTGTTACACACGAACATAATTCTATCAACCTATGTTCACACCAATTTTTATTATTAAAATCTGTCCAGTAGTTCTGGAGATCAGAGATCAAATATGAAAATTCTCTTAATTTCTTACACCAGTGTAGTAAATGCAAGCTTTAAATATAAATCTGAGGAATATTTATGATAGATATTATAAATTTTTATAGTATTAATTAATTTATTTTTACAAATGCCAGACATTTGGCCACTAAGCCAGTAGTCTTGATTTTGCTTCTCAGTACTTAAGAACAATAGAAGTAAAACATAATAGTGCAGTGCATTCGTCAGTATGCTTTTTGTAGTAATAAAACATTGGCAGGATATGGGTACTTGCACAAGGCAAATGGATTGTATCTTTGAATTCTGATAAATACATTCTTCACTATATTCATAGATTTTAACAGCTGCCAGTTTGAAAAATTCGGTGATTGGGGCACAATTTGAGGTCATGTTGTAAGGTATTTCTCCCGCCTTCTTAGCATGCCTTCGTAATGTAGTGGTCAGCACGCTCTGCGCGTATTCGAGAGGCCAGTGGTTCGAGTCCCGGCGAAGGCGTTGCTCATTTTTCCATCTCCTACTTCGAAGTAACCTAAAGTCTCAACAGTGCTACCCGAATTAAAAGGTGGATGATCGTTCTTCCCAAATTCCGAGTCTCCCTTTAAAAAAGGGAGTATATAAGGTATTTCTCCCGCCTTCTTAGCATGCCTTCGTAGAGTAGTGGTCAGCACGCTCGGCGCGTATTCGAGAGGCCCGTGGTTCAATTCCCGTCGAAGGGGTTGCTCATTTATCCATCTCCTGCTTCGAAATAATCTAATGTCTCTACACTGTGAAAGGTCTTGGTGTATTTTGAAGCCTTGCATCTTGTTGTAGACTGGCTATTGTTGCATATCCCCATACATGTGTTATAGTACGTAATGATGGAAAACTTAAAATTCTTTTGCATAAGATAATATTGTTTTTTTCACAAGGTTTGTTTTTCGTAATGAATAAAACCTTTAAATTGGCAAGGTTGAAGTTGGAGTTTTGAAACGTTTTCAAAATGTAGCCTGATTGTAAACTTGTTATCTAAAGTGACACCAACGCATGTTGTTTAATTTCTCCACTCAATTTCTTCTTCAAATAGCACTCTGTTGATTGATTTGTCTATGGATGTAAATTTTCTGAAAACCATTGCTGCTGATTTCCGAGTATTTGCAGTTATTTTCTAACCGTAAATAAATTTTAAGAACAACCAGATGATTCTGCATTTACTTTTGCGCAATGTTTATATATGCATGTTGGAAGAAGAATAGCTGAATCATTAGCAAAGAAGGCTAACTGAAGTTTTAAATTATGAAAGATTCAACTAAATAACTATAGAACAATTATAGTTAATTTATTTGTCTTAGTATTCAAAGTAAGCAAGCATACCTCCAATGGGTGAACTTCTTTTGTCAATGGAAGAGTAGTGTGCTCGGTAACCTCTTTTATTGACTGATTCATCCGAATGAAAATGTATAAGCAAAAAATTATTTGAAGATTCAAATTTTGTTTCACTCAAATGAGAGCAAACACTTCCCAAGACAGGAGAATCTAAAAAGAGAAACATAATATCAAGACTCTGAGATACTTTGAATTAATTAGCTGAAGAATACAAAGGACTGCGCTTACCTCGGGTTGCCCCATCAAATATTTTTACATAATCAAATGTGCAATTCTCTCCATATTCGAGGTCTAAAGTATCAAAGAATAATGTAATCTTTTTATTTGAGTTGACAGTAATTAAAGTCCAGCAATCTATACTATCTGGATAATTCTCAGGAAATCCGGGACTTCTTAAAACACCCGAGCCTTCTGTCAATGATGTCTGACAATCTGGAAAATATGCAAGAAAACATTATTCATTTTACAGTACAGATTATTGTATTCTGTATTGCAAAGTGAATAATGCTGCTGAAATTTTTAATAAAATTTAATATCATTTTGAAGAAATAACCTTCAATAATTTTTTAGTACACTCAGCACATGCAAAACTCAAAGAGTCACTAGTACTCAAAATATAATGCATTTATTCAGCTCCTAAAATATACCTCATCAACATCAGCATGCCGGCCAGAGAGCTCTGCTTCTTGAATGTCATAGTACCAAACTTTCACAGTGTCATATAATACAACATTAGTATCTAAAGCTGTATACAGTGTCTCACAAAAGTGATGGGACTATTGTGCTTTACAAAAGGAAACTGTAATAAAATAAATTAAAAAAACATGTAAAATTTTTTTGTGGGTGTGTTTCATACTGAAATTTAGTAAAAATTATTACATAACATACATTATCTCAAAATATTAAAATATTAATTTAATAAAAATACAATTGTTTAGAACGGAGCAAAAAATGGCTCACATAAGTGATGGAACACCATTAGACACTACTACGTACTACAATAGAAATATTTTTTGGGGTTTTTATTTTTACTCAAAAGCAATTGGCAATAATTTATAAAATCGTCTGCAGTATTTCTCTCCAGTTTTTTTTGGAATTTTTGTGCTTTTTAGCTCTGTGCAGCCATGAATGCTAAACGAAAAGAATTTTTGCCTGAAATTCGAAAATTAGTTATTAATTTGCATATTGAACGTGGAAAATCTATGAGAGAAACTGCTAAAACAGTTAACTTGAGTCATTCAACAGTTTTCAATATCATTAAACGATATAAAAAGAATCATATGATTCAGGATAAAAGACCTGGCCGACCATCAAAGCTATCCAATGGAATAAAGTGAATTATCGTTCGAAATATTAAAAAAAAATCCAAGAACGGTTGCTCCTAAAGTTGCTGTACTGATTTACAAGCATTGTATGGAGTAATTGTTAATCCTGAGACTATTAATAAGAGTAATTCGATCTGCTGGATATCACGGTAGAGCAGCCAGGAAAAAATTCTTCGTAAGTGAAAAGAATAGAAAACTCAGACTGGCTTTCGCAAAATAACATAAATAAGAATTCTGATTACTGGAATGAAGTTATATTTGCTGATGAGAGTAAATTTAATATATTTGGTTCTGACGGTAGAATCTTTTTGTGGAGAAAACCCAGGGAAGAATTTCGCAAACAGAACTAGGTGCCAAAAGTAAAACGTGGTGGAGGAGGAGTTATGGTATGGGGGTGTATGTCGTCCGCTGGAGTTGGTAATCTTGTTTTTATTGACAGTATAATGTATCAGTACAAGTATATTGACATTTTAAATCAAAATTTGAAATCTTCAGCACGAAAATTTAACCTTCATAACGATTTTAAATTCTACCAGGACAATGACCCCAAGCACACTGCTTTGAACGTTAGACTCTGGCTGCTGTATTAACTGTCCTGAAATAATAAAAACACCACCACAATCTCCAGACTTAAATCCCACAGAGAAATATTTGGCAAGAATTGGAATCAAGAATTCGCAAACACAGCATTTCTTCAAAACAACAATTCAAATCGGTGCTTCAAGAAGAATGGGGTAAAATAACTCCAGAAATCACAAAAAAATTAGTCGAATCCATCCCAAGAAGATTAAATCATGTTTTAAAAGTAAAAGGAAATCCAACAAAATATTAAAATCTTTTAAAAAGTAAAATTTTTGGATAAATATTTGATGGAAAAGTAAGTGTCCCATCACTTATGTGAGCCATTTTTTGCTCCGTTCTAAACAATTGTATTTTTATTAAATTAATATTTTAATATTTTGAGAAAATGTATGTTATGTAATAATTGTTACTAAATTTAAGTATGAAACACACCCACAATTTTTTACATGTTTTTTTATTTAATTTACTACAGTTTCCTTTTGCAAAGCACAAGTGTCTGATCACTTTAGTGAGACACTGTATATGATTTGGTGACATTCCGTAGCTGACTTTTTTGCAGCAGAACTGGAAGTAAGTGGCGGTTCTAATCTGGTAGCGTGATAGTTCCATTTTAAGTAAATGATGGTTAATGATAACGTTATAACTTGTACTTAATGATAATTTTTTTTTACAAATTTCACAACACAGTGTTCTAAAGCAAATTTCTTTCTTTCAAACGGCAAAAATCGTTTGACAAAATACTATCAAACACGCCAACGAGAACTTGTTTGCGCAGGCGATATTTGGTGGTGGGAAACTTTCGTTAAAACTTGATACAAGGTAAATTTCATATAAGCAGGCTTGTGAAGACATTAGAAATCAAGATCTTTGGCCAATAGATCTTCTTGGTCAATAGAATGTTCTTCACAGGATTGTAGTCAAATATTTCGAATGTTTTACTTGATTTTTAAAAAAGCCTAATTTGTTAGAAAATTCGAAAAACAGCATTAGTGAGGCAACCTAGATTATTGACATCGCTAATGTGATACACCTTTGATAATACGAAACTTTAATTTCTTTTGTATCTGGAAGTCGAAATTTTTCTGTAATTTGTATGAATGATGCAACATTACACTTTTATATACTGAATATCCCACTGTGCCTAGGTTGTGTGCTGAAAGTTATGCTTAATTTTATGGATAGACTTCCTAGTTAAATGCCGTGCTTAATACCGGGTGACCCATGATAAACCGAACCGGTCATGAAACACTTCATTTACTTTGAGTTCAGTTTATCTTGGGCCACTCGATTTAACAAATATTCAACATCCTGAAATCACTTATAACAATACTTAAGCGATATTTCTCGAAAATACGAAGCAAAACATACTATATTCATCCCCTTGCCAATAGGAGTAGTAACAACCTTTACGAGACCATTATTACGGTGTCCTATTCTCTTGAAAGAAGAATGTGTGTATGTGACTATGGCAAAGCCTCGAGGGCTATCTGCCTAAGGGGAGGGATGCCTTCGTGGAGGACTTTCTAAGGGAAACTGGCTCGTATACACGTTACACATGGGGAAAACCACGAAAACACTCATGCAATCAGCACCTTTGCGGGATTCGAACCTCTGACCGAACTACCAGTGTTCAGCGACGTTACCGCTCAGCCGCTGGTGGGCCCAGAACGAGAAGAAAAAATATAGCTATTCATTGGGGGCGAGTGTTTTCAGTACAGCTCTTAAGTAAGCTGAGTATATAAGGTATTTTTTCTCTCCTTTCTGCATACCGTTGTGGTGTAATGGTAGCACACTAGGCGCGTATTTGAGACGTCCAGGTTCGAGTCCCGGCGAGGGCATTTGCTCATTTTTCACGCCTTCAGCATCAAAATAACCTAATGACTCTACAGTGACGCTCGAGCTAAAAAATGGTGGTGGATAAGGATTCTGCGCAATCAGAATTTGGCGATTGGGCTCCCTAATCCCCACCTGCCCTTTAAAAGAGGCAGTGATATATATTTTATCCCTCTTTTCTGCATACCTTCGTGGTGTAATGGTTAGCACATTCGGTGCGTGTTCGAGAGGTCCAGGTTCGAGTCCCGACGAGGGCATTGCTCATTGTTCACGTTTTTAGCATCAAAATAGCCTAATGACTCTACAAGTGTACAATATTTTCTATCCATCTATTAAATATTGTTTACCTTTTTGAGTCTGCGTGAAGTAGTCAATAGCAAAGCCTTTATCCTCATAGACAGGATCAGAATGGAATACAAGGAGAAGCTTGGAAGAGTTTGTCTTTAATACTCTGTCATTGATGTTGCCACAGAAGGGGCCCAAAGAAGGTGCAAGCGTTGAGGCCCCGAGGTAGACCTGTAAGTAGTCCAGTCTGAAATGAATGGGACCGATATTACTCCAAGTAATTCATTAATTTATACCTCTGGCGGGAGAACTATCAGGTGGGCTCGATGTCGAATTCTCAAAAAGCATCTTTCGCCTTCATATGTGAGCTGAGTAACAGAAGAAACTATTTTCAGAACTGTACGCAAAGCGTTTGGTAGTGCAAAGTCTTTTACATCATGAAATACTGTGAACTGTGTGTGTGTGTGTACGTCTGAAAAAATAATGTTTCCTAAAGCAAACTCTGGCAGCTTTTTTCAATAAATTCAACAAATCGAGCCCTACCGACACCCACCAAAGATGTGTTTCAAAGAACATTAACAATACATGATTGTAGTTAATTTCGAAAAAGGTTATAATTTAAGGATTTGTTTAATTTACTAGCTTAATATATCAAGATGAAAAATTCTGGAATTAGTTAACATAAATTAAAGTATATTACTTCCGATTTTTATACTGTAAAATTTTACATCAGTATAAAGTTATGATATTAACAGGCATGAAAAACGTTCCTCTTCTTTTCTGATTAAACTACTAAGTTTGTTCAATTTGAGAACAATTTTTCTTTAAAATTCCGCATTATTTATTTACAATATTAATTTTATCTAACAGTTTGAATTTCCGAATAAATATGATAATTTACGTGCATATAAGAATGGGTTTACGTATGAAATGAATTAAGTAATTCGCATCTACGAAATGGGTACACTTTTTGAATATATTCGACTATAAAAATGAGCGTTTGTTATTTAGCTTGAATGGAGTTATTATTACGTTCATTATTATAGGGACTAATTTGAAAAATTATAACTTACTTGCAGTCCGTGTCCGGCTCAATATGCAGTTTGTCAATTCTGAGGTAAATGGTAGCATTGGGTTCTGTCGCTGTCAGCTGCCAACGACAGTCTACATTACTCGGATAATTATCAGGATATTTGGGGCTGGTCAAAGTACCTCCACTGCCTGCAACTGTCAGGTTCCATATGCAGTCATCTAGGGAGGAAAAAAAGCCATATATTCAAATATTTGATTCTTCCTATATGTTAAGCAGAAAAATTTTAAGTTAAAAAAATGACTGAATAGAGATAAAAGCAATTTTTCGAAAGCTAAAATACAGCGTTAGTATGTTCAAAGTCAGAATCCTCCTGTGAAGGTTAGGTCCACCAAAAGTCGAGCAGTAACGCTGCTGAACTCTTATTAGTTGAACTTATGTTTGAATCCTGGTGAATAGACTAGATGCGTGGTAGTTTTCCTCGATTAGGCCAGGGTTTCTTAAACTGTGGGTCGCGACTCCTAAGACAGTCGCGGGACTTGCATCAGGGGGGTCGCCAAAAATTTTAGCAGTTTTCATATTTCTTTAACTTATTATAATAATTTTACAATAATGTATTTGAAAATAGATAAAGATAAGACAACACAGACAAAGAAAAAGACGAAAACGTTTCGACGCATTCTTTTTATAATATAAACGTTCATTTTCCTTGCTTTGCACGGGACGCTGTCATTTTATCTGTTACTTATTTAAAATTTTCACATTCTTCTATGTCGTAAAATTAAAGTTAATGACCTAAAACTGCAATAGTATTTACAGTACAAATATTACAGTACAAGTGAAAAAAACTGACAGTTTCACTCACGCGTGTGTCGGATTTGCGCAATATTTATGGGGTCCCACAAAATTTTTGTAAATATTATGGGGTCCTGGGGTTCGCGAAAAAATCTGTGATATAAAAAGGGGTAGCGGCTGGAAAAAGTTTAAGAAACCCTGTATTAGGCCATGTGTTAATAGACTTACGAGCATCTTTATAGTTAAGTTTCCTATACTAAAGCTTTTCGTACCTTAGTAGGTAGCCCATGTGCGGTTTGCTACAACCCAAGTAATCTAACTCATTAAGGATATAATCTGCTGTTGCTTTCTTCTTATATAACTTTCCAAGTTTTTGAATTTTAATCTCCGAAAGGAATTTAGACTACTTTATCCCTTCCCCTAAATATCTGTCTAGTTTAGTCTAGATCAGTGGTTTTCAACCTTTTGACTAACATGTACCATCTAAGCAAAAAAAAAAAAAAAAAAAAAAAAAAAAAAAAAAAAAAACTTTAGTTACCACTACTATATTTCAGTTTCTCAAAAGAAATATTAAAAAAATATGTTTTGCCCTTTGACGAACCTATTGGTTTGGACAAACCTATAATTTTGTCGGTAAACTAAGAAATGTGTGCAAAATAAAAAGGATTTTTAGCACCAAAAATTGAACGCTACATTAAAAAAAAGTGCTATAGGAAGAATGCAGTAAATTTCCCTAAGACAATATCCGTTTTACGTTAAAATTGTAGTCAATATAAAAGATGTTTTACATTGATATTTGCTAATGTTCTCAGAAATAGTGTTCTCTCTCAAATATACTGGCCTACAGGAGGTGACCACCATGAGTGTTTTATATGTGTTACTCATTAAACTAAAACATTTACTGAAACATTTTAGAAACTTTGCCTTATTGCTTAGCAAACTTAGATTTCCGTTAAAAGTTTGGACTATTTATTATTAACAGCTGGAGTAGTCGTACAGCTTGGAGGTTAGGAAGGATCGCATTTCTGGAACCGACCAATTTCTGGGAGGAGACCCGGGGTCTGATCTGGACCTTCTGAGGGTGGGTATGGCTACAGTGCAGTGACATCTCCTGTCCACATAGCCTCTTCTGTCCCAGTCCGACATAGGCCTCCTCATGGCCTCGCTGATAACCAGGTTTGCCTGGGCTGACTTCGTTCGGACAACCATCTCTGGGATTCGACTAGGACTGACTATCCCAGCGTTCTGGCCAGATCAATTTCTAGACAGCATCGACTTCTGGGGTAAATAATGTCTTCACAAGACTAGAACCATCGTTTATTCGGTGGTAGGTTCAGGCTTGGCAGGGACCGGACTGGTACTGTCCTGTCTGCCCCTTGGTTGTGGGGACCTTACATGATTTGATATCGCAAGACAACCCTTGGTCAATATTGAGTAATGGACGATGTCAACCTTGTGATTTTGCTTTTTTCGGTGGATGCTAGCCGTCCACTACTGTGTTTGAGTTCATTTACTGTACGAGTGTAACATTTAAAAATCCCTCTGGATTGACTCCTCGAATCGCCTCTGGAGATTAGGGTATTTATTAACCGAGTTAAGGGTGCCTCAAACATTCCAGGTCTGGGATTCTCTTCCTCTGGTGATCTGTTTATTATTAACACTAATTTTGGGTAAGGTGTTGGTGGCCTCGACTAGCCCAGCGTGGGACTCAGATTCGGAATTTGGAAAAGGAATCGATATTTGTAATTGATTAATCCTGTTCTCGCAGGTATAATATGGGTCTCCACAGCTAAATGATCAATGAGTTCGGCCTTTCCTGTTTAGTAAATAAGAAAATGTCCGGCATTGGAACAAAAAAAAAAAAAATAATGATAAGCCTTGAATGATTTTTTTATTTAAAAAAATAGTTTATATAGTCACACGGAAAAAAAATCTATGTATTTTGAATTCGAAAGGGAAACTATGTAACACTATCTAATGGTTTGGTTTGATTATGGCAAAGCACTCGAGAGCTAAGGGGAAGGATGCCTTTGTGAAAGACTGTTTTTGTTGTGACTTGTCTCACGTATCTGACAGTAACATCAGAATAAGGCCACGAAATTCATCGTGGCAAGGACAGCAAGATTACGCCTGTCGTTGGGAAGGGCCTTGAGCACCATACAAGTGACAGTGCGACTTCTCTCAGTTCCGCCCCTAATTTTGAAGGAGAGCACCCTGTAACACCGGAGGGAGGCTTCCGACTGAGACGAAAACAGAACGGAACAATGCCTGCTCGGTAGAACATCTACTAACCAACAGCTTCCACTGCCACAGTCGACAGATGAATATACTCAATCAAGTGAGCATTTGTTGCGCAACTGGAGACAGAAACTAAGACACATGAATACAATGCATCGACTAATTAATTTTAGAAGTTGTAACTTAATTTAAAAGACTTAAAACGAAGTAAAAGGGTGGTGAGGTTATCACTGATGACATCTTACAATCAGAATTGGATATTAGTAAAGCCAATACTAGTTAATATGATGCCAGTAAGTTCTAATTCAGAGTTTACAAGTCCCTACGATTTTTGCACTTGTCACTACAACAGTCGTTTTACTACGTTTGCAGTTCAGTACAAGCATTATTTATTTACTAAGACTCAACAATCCCCCATGCCTCACCCAGTCATTATCAAATCTTTTTTGTAGTCAATTATCAAATTAAGTTAGTTTAATTGAGCTTTCAGATTTTTAATATGATACCAATCAATTTTTGCTTTCTAATTCTTGAGACCTAATGAGATAAACGCTATGTGGTTAGCTGTATGACATGCACATATACTAGTATATAGTACGTATATATGCAATTTTCGTTCAATGTGGTTTCTAGTTAACGATATAAATTATAATAAAAAGCACATACAGTATACTACATACACGCTTCTCAGTATACGTGCAAAATACACATTCAATAAACAATTAAATACTTATTGATAAATAAAAACCTAATTTTTACGCTATATAGAATGACGTGCACACAATATACAATATTTGGTACGCTTCAATAAAATACAGTGCATCTACTATATACAATATGCACGTACAGTTGCAATGTACTTTCAATATGAACTTCTGGTCAACAATATGCAATTAAAATGCAAAACATACAATTTACTAAATACTTGTAATTCACGATATACGTGCAATTTCTGCATACAATATACACATGACATACAGATACATAAAATCCCAATCATTACGATGTATAGAATGACATGCATACAATATACAATATTCAATAAAATATAAAAGACTATATACTTTAAATGTACGCAAAAATGTAATTTTCCTTCAATATGCACTTTTAGTTAACAATATAGAAGGAGAGCACCCCGGGAGGACGGGTCCGAGGGTTTCCCATCCTTCTTCCCCAACCACCGATCTCTCGAGAAGACTTTCTGCTCGCCTCATATTTAGAAAGCCCCCATGCCGCACAGACACTATACATTTACAAACATCCATGCCTTCTCCGGCATTCGAACCCAGGCCCTTCGGTACCGCAGTAGACTCCCCCAACCACTATACCGTCTGGGCGACTTCATGGAGGCCTTTCTAACAAAAATTAACTATCTAATGGAACTAAAACAACTCACCATCGGCTTCCTTGGCTTCTCTCACTACCCGCCTGCTCAAAGAATGTGCTCCGCTGTCAGTGAATCTGTAAATAAAAAATTATTCTTAATAACCAAATTACATCTATTATCAATCACTTTTAATTAAAAAAAATAATTCAATAGGAAATTCAAGCTCGTACAGAAGGGAGGATTTCCCCTCCTGGGGGCTGAATAATTGCTATTCAGTGATCCCATTTTAAGAATATTAAAATATAATTAAATTTTTAATTTATGGTATGTATATGATAAAACGCACTTTTAGATAGCAGAATAATTTATATTATGCGCAAAAAAGGAAGTACCAAATACTCTATTTTAAGATATCATTATTTTGATAATTGCTTTTATAATTTATGTTGTTCATAGACAGAGTTGCAAATATAGGACTAAAATGTACTAATATGCAAATCTACCATTCAAAAAATAGTTAAAATTCATCATGTAACATTATATTCGTGGAAGGTGATGTCAATAAAGTGTTTCATCTGAAGCGATAAATTTTGCGATTTCATTTCATTCAAGCAAAATACGAGTAGGTAAATAAAAAAATAATTACTTGTTTTTATTTTAAGTGTGTCACCTCCAGTTTTGTTTCGAAATTCTACTGCTTCATAATTATAAATTACACCATGCCTCCTATTTTTGGTAGGTTTACATTTTTTTAAAATTTGTCAAATCTGATATGTTATTCAGGCTCTGATTATCGCGCAGATCTACAAAGTTTGAGCCAAGAGCTCCCACATTTTAGGTAATAATTCTAAAATTATTTTCTATAAAGACAACAAATATATACTAAGGCGATCACCAAAATACCTAATTTTGTTATTAAACATAGTCATTTTTATGTAATAAATTAATCAAGAGGTATATAATGTGTCATATCTCAAATTATTAATGTACACTGCGGGGAAAAAAAAAAAAAAAAAGAGACAGTTCTATATCTCCCGTTTTCTACTAGGCAAAGTGAGGAAATTCAAATTGCGTTTTTCATGTCTTGAAAGCAGGACTAAGGATATATATTAGATTTATATATAGCATCATTCTAAGATATTTACTTTGTAAGGATTATGTTAATTTTATTAACAGTTAAATTTTTAGTTAAAACTTCTTTCCTGTCAAATTCTTAACTTCAACTTACTACTTCCGATCAGAACGTAGTTTTAGAATCACGTCTGAATACATGATGAGGAGGAGCGGTATTTAACCGCGGAGTTCTACTTGCTGAATGAGAGAGAATCAGAGATTCTGATTAGCGCGCGTTCGCCTTTTCGGCTACTCTCTCTCAAAGCTGTTATTACGCTCGGCCGTACTCAGGCCCTTGATAGCTTCGCAGTTATCTCGTGTTTAAGAGGCCAACTACATTAAAACTTTGATAGCTTCGGCTATATCTCTTTTTAGTTTAAGCTTAGTTTTAGTTTAGTTCTTAATATCTTAAGTTCAAAGCCCGAGTGTTCGGCTTTATTGTAAAAATCCAAGTCGGAGTTCTGTTAACTTTTATCTGAATAATAGAGAGTTATTTTACCCTTTTTGTTTGTTGTTTCATCTACACTAATTCAAGCGATTATTCGCTTACTAGTTCTCAAGATTCTTCACGTTCAACTGTAACGTAACATTTACAAAGTGAGGAACTCTACATTTTGCGCCCGAAACGTTTTCAAAGGACCATGCCGTTAGAGAGTGAAAAGTTCACGTTGACCCCTCCGACCTTTCAGGTCCCTCAGACTTCTACGAATCCTATGGAAGGGTTTGGATAGATCATTGAAACAATGCGGGCTGCTATGAAACCAGCCGCAACGTTTGACGGAAAAGGTTCGGTAAGGACTTTTCTCGAACAGCTGGACCTGCATTTCACTTTGCATCCTGTGAACCAGCTGCAAAAGGTGACCATCCCTACTACAGCCTTAAAAGGTCAGGTCCTCAGCTGGTAGGCATTGGAAGGTTCTTGTTGGGGGCCCCAGGATCAGAATCGTATAGCTGTGAAAATTTCAAGTCGGCATTACTGAAAGCATTTGTAGTTGTCAAAGACTGTGAGAAGCTAGAATAGGAATTGTATAGTAAATACCAAGGAAGTTTCGAGGAGTTGACGGTACGGGAAGAGGCCAGATAATGAACTCATCGAAAGGATTTTTACCCCGTCTACTACCGTCAGCTCAAGATTTCCTCGAAGTCCGTAACCCGCAAATGTTAGAAGATCTATTTCAGCTTTCGGCGACGTTCCAAAGCCGATGGAACCCGGAGAAAGCACGTGCAAAACAGTTTGGCCAACTCTCAAGATTTACTCCTCAAAAGAAACCAAAAGTTCAGCACAATGAGTATCGGCAGACGGAAAAAAGTGAAAAGTTCAATAACAAGAGCGCGGATAAATCTAAGGGTGGCGGATACAAAATTCAGCGTAAAGAGGCGGCGGGGAACCAGATTTAAACGCAAACCGGTGATCGAGAAGGGAGAACGATCACCGTGTGGGAAGAAAAGCCCCTCAGAAATACGATTGAACTCAGTAGTGGAGCAAAATCTAGCCATACCGGAGGTTCGTATTCTTGTAAATAACGTACCAACCCCGACGCTCTTGGACACCGAAGCAGAATGTTCATTTCTCTCGCAAGAGTTCTTAAAAAAACGTTTTCGTCGTTATAGATTATTTAGAGTTACAGGACAAAAAGTAATTGCCGCCCAAGGCAAACAGTGCGTATGTTTGGGAAAACCCGCACAACATGTACAAATTAAAAATGAGGTCAGTCTGCAAGTGGCAATCAAGTAAATTAAAAATATCATTAAATTTGACTTTTTTTTTATCTTACTGCAAACAGTAAATCATCACTTTAGGATCTTGAAATTATTAAATCATTTACCTTTATTATAATATTAGTACACATAATTAACATAATAGACATATTAAGTATGATATGCAGATCAAATAATTAAGAAAGATTCGGTAGTGTTGGTCGAATAGGCCAGAAAAGAACGGAAAAACGTATTTAGGAATAATTTTTGATTGCATCAAAGTACAAACACCAAATTTTAATCTTGACCGGAAATGAAGTCTTAAAAAATTAGATCAATAATTAGATTCTGATATACATGAACAGAAAAAAGTATCTTCAGGTTCACTTATAGAAGAGCATTTTTTCTGAAATTCATGTCTATGGCTCTCTTTTTCTAAAGAAGCGAAAGAAATTCTGATGGAAGAAGAATTATCTTTTTACAATATTTTAAATCAAGAGAAATTTTATTCTAAGTTTTGCTTTCTTATTACATTATTATTAATAATTTTAATAATTATATTGCATTATTGTATATATTTATTAATTATATTGCATAATTGGTCATTATATTGCATTATAACGCATTTCTACTTTAGCAGTTTTCTTTAACAAACGTCAAGAGTTTTTTAAATAGGATAAATGCGTTATGTAAACCAATAATCGCCGTTTGCCATCTTTCTTTAAGCAAGCATATCCACAAAAGTCTAAACTTATGAGTAGTTATAAAAGGTTCACTGTGTTTTAAAAAACATTATTGAAATTAGTGATTTTTGATGCATTTCAGTTGAACTTATTTCATTAGAGATATATTTCTCATTCAATTAATCCACATCGCGGCAAGGCAAAAATACATAAAAACTCAAAATATCTTCATTACAAATTGTAGAATATAGGAAAACATAAAACACCGAATGCAGTTAAAAGAAGTTTTTTAAAAAAATTACAAATAAAATTAAGATTCTACTCGAAATCAAGCAGTTCCTCCAACTGGCAAGAAGGCAGATTTTTCGATGCACAAAACGGAAAGTTTACTTTTGGTCTCTCTCGGCAAAAAAGACACTGAAGGTGCAGAAGCTGACTTAATTCACTGTTCTGCTAAGTTTCCAAGTAAACCAATATGGTGCTCTGTTAAGCTTAATCGCACTTAAACAATCTTCAAATTGTAGATAATTCTACATCTGTTCATACAGACTAACTAAAGGAATAAAAAACAATAACCGGAACAACATAATTCAAACACTTTTAAAACAAAAAAATGCACAATTTACCAGCGTATAAGAATAAAAAAATGAGCTCACCGAGCCGAATAACAGAGTGGGTATATATATATATATAGTTTTGGTATGGCCGATTTCTAGCAAAAAGAGAGGTGCACTACAACATGTAAAAGCAGCCCTACATACAAAATTTCAACATTCTGAGGCTAGTCGTTTTTGAGTTATGCGAGATACGTAAAGACGTCACGAAAAAAATTTCTTCTGAATTAATTTTATAATCCGTTTTGGGAAAAAGAGTCCTTTATTCTGTCCTTACGTACAGATGTCATGCAAAAACATCCTTAAATTGTATTCGATAGCGGTCAAACTGGATATTTTTGTTGAAATATAAAACGCGAAATTTTTCGCAATTCTAATACTTCCTGAAAGTAAAAAGGAAATCAGAAAAACTTCGTCAGTGCTATTTCGATGCTATTGATGTTATTTAAACTTCCTTAGTGCTATTACCTGTGTGGAACGAAAACTAGTTAAAAAAGTTGTACGATATAAACTAGAAAGTACATCAAATTTCCAAATATCAAAGATTTTTTTTATACAAGTATGTATAAATAAAGAAAAAATGTATTCCTGTCTTTATTTAATTTTAGTTTGTGGAAAGTTCTCGCATTCCATCGTGCGTGCTCTCGGGATGCAAATGGTTCGCATGTCTGGCTAGCAAATTAGATGTTGTTATTCGAATACTGTCAAAGGCGCAATTGATTTTTCACGTTTTCCTGTTACATTAACCTAATGGTGTCTATAATTTATATAAACTCATATTTATAGTGCTCAACAATTAACAATTATATAAGGAGAGTAAAAAATTTTGAGCCTCGCAGGAAACTGTAGAAATTTTGTATGATGTTAGGTTGAAATTTTATGACATACTGTGCAAAATTTCATTTTTATTTATTTATTTATTTTTAAGTGGAAAAGGAATGAAGCAGCCAAGAAAAGAATGGCAGACAGGCTCGTGCGTGATTTGGTACCTTAGTCGAAAAGGCCTTAATGCAATCGCGACACTGC